CGGCGGGCGACGCTTCCCAGCCGCTCGCTACCCTCGCCGGGGCGTTTTGCCGCAGTTCTCCCGAGAGGAAAGCGCCCGGAGCAATCACTGGTGGCGGAGGCTCTGTGCTCTGGTGTCTGCCTCACGGAAACCGGCCTCCCCGTCCCAGAAGGTCTTCAGGACAGACGCACTTCGTCACGTAATGTTACACTCTGGGCTACCATACGTGTTTGTTTTGTTTTTAGTAATGCCACAGAGTCTTCGGTGGAATAGAGTGCGAGGCGTGATAAATACAAGAAATACCACATTCCTCGTGAGGGAGAACTTTGTTTCCTGGTGGTGGCTGAGGCGGGGAGGCGAGGGGCTGGTGCCTGTGTGTGAGCAGTGCAGCTCCAGGGTGTGTGGGGATGTCGGTAGCCAGCGGTGAGTCACGGCACTCGGGATGTGCCCTGGGCTGCAGGACGCAGCAGCTGCTGCAGAAGGGAAGCTTTGAGCTTGGGAACTATAACCTGTGCCTCCGGAGCCTCGCAGCCGTGTGTTACTGCTGGCTGCAGAGGGTGGAATAGTTTTTTCTTAGCTCTGCCACTGGAGAGTTGGAAGGGTGGCAAGGGATAAAAATATTAATTTCTTTGTTCCATTTTAAGTGTTCTGCTTTTGCAGGAAAAATGAGAGCCACCTTGATAGCTTCTCTTTGTACTGAACGAGGAAAGGAGGTCATTAAGAGACGAAGTACTTTCTAAATTAAATCAGTGTGAATATGTAGCTCATTGAGAAAAAGTACCTGGTAGTTTTCAGTCATCTCACAAGGAGTACATAAATGGGTTCTGAGAGTAACAGAATGCCCCATACAAGATTTGCATCTTGCAGTTGCTGTATCAAGATCATTTGTGGATTCTGGTCCTTGTCTCTAAATTGGAAAAATGTTCAAAATTAGCAAGGCTAACTGAAATGCAATGCTTTTTACCAGACACAGAAATCAAGTCCATGACTACAAAACTAACGAGACAGTAGCATTGCAGAAGTAGTTCTGAAAGTGTTGTAGGTCAGACTAATAAGTCAGTGTAGTCTGGCTTTACAGGAAAAAAGGGAAAAGTCATGCTCAGATGTAAACATAGGAATGTTCTATTGAACATACAAGGAGTAGTTAGTGTGTGCATTTACTGGATTACAGCATTTACTGGAGCTAAACTAAGCGTTAGTGGAGCTTTGGCTCTGTCTGGCTTTGATATTTGACTTGAAGATAGGGCAAGAATGCTGATGCATGATGAAATTTGATGAAACTGAATTTAAGCTTAGGAGAAAAAAAAAAAGGCTGGTGAGAGGGAGACTTGAGATTTACTTTCAGGCAAGAAAAATGTGTCCATATGTTCTGTTGGGGCCACAGAGAATAGAAAAATTACACCCTGCCTCATTTGTAGCAAAAGGGAATTGGGCTGTAAATCTTGTGGCTTGAGCTAGAATTGTTATCTGAGAGTTGAAGTATATAATTATCTACTAAAGTATGTGCTTTGGTCTGTTTGCTTTATTTACATGTGATTTCTGAATAAATCTGAAGTGGTCGTATGTAAAGGACAGATGAGACCCTTGGTCTGTTTAGACTATGTATATTTTAAGTGTTTGTTTATCCAGACTGCGTGAATTTCAGCTTCTAGCTAGATGCCAACAGGAAAGGTGAAATTTAGGTATTTTCCAAGTGTTGAAGTGGGTAAAGTAACAGAAGGAAAAAGGGCAGAGACCCTTTGTTTTGGGGTCATGAAAGAAAGTCTCAGTAAGCTGACTTGATAAGCTGTTTACTGTCTCATCCTCTCAAATCAAAGCCCCATTTTGTGTTCCATCTGAAGGACCTGAGTACAACACACCTGCCTTGCTCTTACAGGTTAGCTCAGCCTGTGAAAGGTGTATTATACTATGTTACAGGGGTGAAATCAGTCTGGGCTAATTTTGTGGGAACATTTTTATTTTTAAACTTGAATAAGGTAGAGTTTAGTCTAAATTGTAAATGATACACATGCTTAGTGGTAGCAACAGTGTTACTGCTTTTTCTCAGTAAATGTTGGATCTTTCCCATCAGCTTTAATGCAGTTTATTTGAGGCTTGCTTTTGTAATTTTATTATTCAGTCTTTCTGCAAACACACCGGAGAATGGTGTGACGGCTGAAGGAAAATTGTGAGGCTGTTTTTATGAAGCGTTTTTATATGGTCTCTTGATCTAGTGAAAACAGTTAAATTTTAATCCAACTTCTGAAATGCAATCTAGAGAAGGATGAAACAGTGCTACTTGCTGCTCTCAGAGAACTTGGTATTTTTGTGTGTCTTTGTTTCTAAGCCTTTTAAAGTCTTTCTAAGACTTTTCCTCCTACTTTTCTATGGTATTTACATAGCCCTGTTACTGTCAAGCACATTTCCTATTGTTGCTTCTGCACTTGGTGTTTTAATTGCACTGTGATTGTGCAAAGGTGCCAGTGCCATTAAAGCTGGGTGCTGAACATTTCCCATGCCTTGGTCAAATGCAGTGTCCATAAAGGTTGAAGGTGCTTGAAGTCTTTTTCACGAGTGATTCATTTCCTGAGGCACTGTCCTTGCTATGCATCGTGTTTCCTGTGTGAGAACAATATGCAATTACCTGATTACAGGCAGAGTGAAGGAGCAAGCCTGTTATGGTCAAGTCTGGACTTCTAAAATCTGAGTGCTTGACTTCTAAACTCTTACCTGTTTTAGCGTATTTTTGTAAGTAATAAGTAGGAAAGTCATTGATATGCACTTACAATACTGTGTTACTCCTTTGAGCATGGGTTCTAATCAGAAAAATGTTTAGAATTTTGTTTGGTTTGTTAAATTGCTGGCAACATCTCCCACTGATTTTGATAGTATTGGGTGCTTTGACACTTCCTGCATGATGTGTTTTTGTTTGAACATAGTCTTCAGATACAGAGATGACAAAAGTCTCCTCTTTGATAGTTTTGTGTTTAGAGACACAAACCTGATCCCTCTGCATTTAGAGACAGCCTTTAAGGATTTATCTAAGTACAAAAAATACTAAGTTTGTGAGATACTTTATGTTCTCATAATATGGTATTTCATGTGTCTGTAAAGAGCAACAAGTATGTGTATGCTTTTTTGTTACTTTTCAAGCAAATAGGATAAATAAATAAAAAGGAATAGCTTGAAGGTGAACTCCAGGTTTCCTCTAAGTGCATCAGTGCCTTAGCAAATTAAGGAATTTTGCAGTAATGCTGCTACTAAGTAAATAAATTTGGAGATCATGTATTCCTGACTGTTAAGTGCTTTTTTTGTTTGTAATGCTCTATATTCCTCAGACACCCAAATGAGGTAAGAGCTTGTTATTCTTCCCACTGCATCCCATACCCAAAATTCTACTGTTGGAGTAAACTTGAATCCTGAGTTTGTATAATGTAACTTATTAATGAGAAATACATGTTCACAGATGCAATAATTTCTATGTGACTTCAAATAAATAGGCTAAAATATGTGAACTAGTATAGTATTAATTACTAACTGTCTCAGGAAGTTGTTCAAATTAGTGTGAAATGAAGTGATCTAATTGCCATCGCATCAAATTATCTCTGCTCCGTTAATTCTCAGAGCAGGGACTGAGTTTGTGCTGTCCTTAGATTCACTGTTCTGATAATGCACATAGTGCCCTAATGACAAGGTTTTTCCAGGGCTTGTGTGCCATGTGCTGTTTTAGAACTGCTGGGAATTCTCACGGGTGGTCAGCCTTAAGCTTTCACATCTTCCCTGTGAGCCGTCCCATTGTCAGTGTCCACAGAAGGAATCTTGAACTGTGATCCTCAGATTAGTGGAAGAGGATTTCCAGGTGCTCTCTGACTTGCTGTTTAATGATTGTTATGGTACAGCACGTGACCAGGCAGTTGTGACTGTAGGACACAGTTGAGGATCAACTTTTCCTAGTGTGGTTTCAATGTGACCAGTGACTGTTTTGGATTTGAAAATGAGTATTGATTTATGAAGGGGAAAAAGAACACGATGAAAGGGGAGAGAATTTTTTTTTTACTGAAGAGAAAGATTAAGAAAAGACTGTGCCCCCCTCTTCCTCTCCCCCCCTGCCACCTATTCCCTTTTTCCTCCTTTTTGCTGTCTGGTGATATATATAATATTAAAATGGCTTTGGTAATGTGGTGCAGGCTTTGTCTCATTGCTGATTAGAGGGTGAGGGAAGGGAGCATTTATTTGGTATATCAAGTTTGTTAAAGCTGTGAACTTCTGAGGGCTGTTTATCTATTGTGTCCTTGAGCAGTACCCAACGTATCAGAATTGTTGTTTGATGGTTAAGTAATACCAAGACTAGCAAGCACACAGTGTTTTTACCATGACAGCACAGAGCATTTTATCAGCTTCTCTGAAATAGCACCTGTTCTCTCATGGCTGGTGAGGGCAGACTGTGTCTTGCAGCAAGTCTTCTGGAACTCTGCCCAGCTCAGTGGTTTAAGAAGACTCCCAAAGCCAAATTTGACAGATTTTAAGTAAACTATAAATATGATCAAAGTTCTTGTTTGTTTGGGGGAGGTTTTTCAGTTCAAGGAAAAGGTTCTGAAACTAGGTAGTGCCTTGTCTTGTCTTTGCAAGTCTAATAAATAGTTGGAACAGCCTCACATGGGTGTTCTGTTAAATGGCATTTTAGTCTCTGGCTGCATGCTTGCTCAGTGCAGTGATTCAGTTTTTTAGTGTTGATAAAATTGATGCGAATCTTGATTTTTGATATGCAATTTCAAGTCTGTTTTTTGATGTAAACATCTTAAAGCCATAAACCAGACACCCCAAAATTTTGTTTTAAAAATGCACTGTGTTTTTTGGAACCTTGCCAGAAGCTTGGCAAAATTCTAATAATGAGATTCCTAAAATTTCAATCTGAATCACTGAACAAACTTTCACGGAATCCAAAACAATAGTGAAGGCTGCCCCAGGGTCAGGACACAGGCTATTTCACAGAATTAGATCCTGGGAGTTTGATTAGCTCCACTATTCATGGCGAGATTGATAATATGGAAAATCTGTCATCCTTTCCAAACACTTGTGCATGTAATCTAAAATTACATGAAATTTCCCTCATGTTTTTTATTTATTTTCAAAATTGGGCACCTTTCTTATATTTATCCTTTCTTTTTATTACTACATAAAAGAAAAAACAAAAACAGAGGGAGAAAAGCAGTGGTGATTTTTGTGCTTTTATTCGAATCGTCCCCTACCCCATCTCTTTTTTTTTTTGTGGGACATAAGAAAGTAATGAGACAGAAATATTTTGGTACTTTATGCGACAACTTATTTGGAAAAAAAGAGGTGCTTCCCTGAAGAGTAAAATTCTGAGACTTAAAATCTGAAAGGCTTGTATTCTCCATAGCTTCCTGTCACCTGTGATAGAGACATACCCCTTCTTAAGCTTCAGTAGGCAATCTTTAACTCATGCCCTTTGAAATTATAAAGCTGGACTTTACCACCTTTCCAGTCAGTATTTCTGTGCTCAAGGGACCAGAGACCTGAGATGAAGCTTTGCCAAGGTGAATGAATAGTCTTTGGGAATCCTGTGTTTAATATCAAACACCACAATTGATGTGAGTCTATAAGGGGTCTCTGCAGACAAGAGAAGGGATCGAACTTCCCTGGTTATACCTCATTGTGCCACTTCCCCGTATCAGCTACTGCATGCTTATCTGCTTCTGTTTCTCTTTTTCTTGCTCATCGCTCCTTTGACTTCCATGAATTTCTTTGGAACATGTTGAAGAAGCACCTTGGGACCAGTACCACAGTTTCTAGTTCTACGTTAACATCGGCATAAGCCCTCGTAACTCACCTGGCTGGGGGGGATTTGTTTCCTTTGTCACTCTGTTTAACAATTACTTTTCTCTCTGCATCAGTATTAGAAGGAAATCTTAGGGTTTTAAAATTGTGCAGTGATTAGACTTAGAGTGTGCGAATAGGTGTGTGTGCATTGGTACAGTGATGAAAGGCAAACATGGTGTGTGTGGAAGTGGCAGGATAGCTCTTTACTTGTAATACTTTTTTCTTTTAGGTACATGTATCATATTTTGACTAAAAATACAACAGTAACAGATCACAACCGCAACCTGCTGGTGGAGACCATTCGTTCCATAACAGAGATCCTGATCTGGGGGGATCAGAATGACAGCTCAGTGTTTGAGTGAGTACTCCTGAGCCAGTGCTCTCTGAGACTCTGCTTTTGTGTTTGAAGAATGCTTGGAGTTGTACAGAGGTCTGAACACTGTTACTGTTAACTCCTCCAAGACTGTATTTCATGGCTATATGTAAAAAGCTATGTCCTGTGGTAGATGTGTGAGGAGGTTCATATTCATGTCATACAGGAATTTGCTGCTTCTAAAAAGTGTTTGGACTCCAGAGCCCCTTTCAAGTACTAATTTTGTTTGACTCTCCATTCATTTGATAAAAATACAAATGATAACTTAATTTAGGGTCCAGATTTACTCAGTACGTCTCTTAATATCACATTGCTTCAATTTACCTAATATACCACAAATAAATATCTTACTCCAGCTGTGGTATTTAGAGCTGCCTGAGAAACTGAATATGCTAAAAATACAGTAAGAAAGGCCCTGGTTTCTTGATACCTTTTTTCTGCATAATTTGTATTTTTAAGCCCTCTTGTTTAGTTCTTAAGGTTTTTGAAATATATTCTTTTGTTCCACAGATACAACTTTGCAAAGTAATTCTTCATAAAAGCAAAGCATGCTATTTGTCAGAGTTGCCTTGAATCATCCCTTCTCCTAGCCAAATTATTTTCCTGTTACTTACAGCATATGACTTAATTTTTATTTTATTTCAGCTTTTTCTTGGAGAAGAATATGTTTGTGTTCTTCCTGAACATCCTGCGTCAGAAGTCTGGTCGTTATGTGTGTGTGCAGCTGCTGCAGACTCTGAACATCCTTTTTGAGAACATCAGCCATGAAACATCCCTGTGTAAGGACAGACTTCCAAACTGCTTAGGATGAAGCGATCAAGATTTGACTGGATTCCCTTTCATTCAATGAAATCTAGTCCTAGTATCCTTGCACAGAGCTACATTAATTACTAACAATCTTTTAAATTGAGCACTACCAAAAATATGGTATAAACTGACTCCACAACACCTTTCAATATAAATTTTCAGTGGTGCAAAAGTAGTTTTTTGGTACAACAAGCATTTAGCACACAAATAGAAGATGGAGAATTAATAATTTGAAGTATTCCACAGATGTTACAAAAGCCATCATCAATCCTTGACTAGTTGGGACTTTTGGAGGAGAGGAGTTAAGCGTTATTAGCTGCAGAGCTTACCTGAATTGAGGAAGATGAAGTACATTCTCAGTTGTTCTGTTCTTGGGAGCAAAGACCTTTGTAGGGAGCAGATCCTTTATATTAATGCTCAAAGGCATCACTTGAGCTGTTTTGACTCAAATTTGTGATCTTCAAGCATCAGGTTGTTGCTCTCTAGCTGGTACTTTAAATACAGCCTGTTGCCACAGTGATTTTTTTTTCAGTTAACCTGTGTAAATGCTTCTTTTTTTTTTTTTTCAGACTACCTGCTCTCTAATAACTATGTGAATTCTATTATTGTCCACAAATTCGACTTTTCTGATGAGGAGATCATGGCATATTACATATCATTTTTGAAAACTCTTTCCCTGAAACTCAATAATCATACTGTACATTTCTTTTATAATGAGGTAAGTAAAGAAAGTTGCAGTATAATAATAACGACTTGAATTAGAAGTTGATAGCAGTGTGGCACATACTCTGTTTAGTCTGTTGTCTCATAATGTCTTGCTTTTATTTTTATAATGGCCATACCAGTGGTTGTGAATTTGTTCGTGAGGATCTCTGCACAAGCATGGGTTTGTCCTCTTACAACTACAGTAAACTAAAAGTCTGGAAATTAGTGTTATATTGGATCATTTCAGTAGTTCTTAAGTCTGCTTCCTTGAGAATTCAACTTGTTTATGCCATGTTTTCTTGTGCTTTCATAAACAGGATCTTTTGTGTTACATCACTTGGCTCTAAGAGGTTTAGTCAAAGTCCAGAAAGCTGAGTCAAAGGGCAAAGTTGTTATGGGGTTTTCCTCTCTGCACTCCACGTTCTGCCAGAAGAGGGCATGAAAGCACTGAGTATGAGCACACTTATCCTGGGAAACTCTGATGCTTAAAGCAGTTTATTTTAATGCAGAGCTACAAATGCAGCTGAATGTGCATTGTAAAATCAGTTTGATTACTTAAGTAGAAGGTAAAGGTACAAAGTTACACAGAAAACATAATTCATACAGAATCCCAACCCATATTCTGTACTTGTTTAATAAATAAATATTTTCTTTCCTCTTGTTACAGCACACTAATGACTTTGCTTTGTACACTGAAGCTATTAAATTTTTTAACCACCCCGAAAGCATGGTCAGGATTGCTGTTAGGACTATAACTTTAAATGTCTACAAAGGTATGCTTTTTATATATTAAAAAAGGCATGTGTGCAAATTTGTTTCATTGTAGTTTAATTTTCAGTTATTTACTTGTGAGGGTTTTCTGTCTGTTTTATGAGATTGAAAAGCTGAGCATGTTGACAATACAGATACACATTTTGACTTCGTGACCACTATCCCAAACCTGCACTATGTATTTGTAAATACTATTATTTTCTCACCAATGAAACTGGTTTAAAAAAAAACCCTGAAAGTGTCAGGCATACACAAGGAACTTTAGCTTTCCTTCAAAGAGAGGTCAGAATGTGACTGTATTTAAAAAGTAAACAAGTAAAACCCCCCAAAACCAGAGCATATTAAGAATATCAATTATCTTTTAAATTGATGAAATTGAGCTTTCTAGTGAATGGAGCTGTAACCAGCATTACTCCCTTCTGGACTTGAAGTGCATTAAAATGATTAACATTACATTACATTACATTAAAATGTAGAACTCTTAGGTGCTGCAGTCACTCCAGTCTCGAGAGGAGCTGGACCATTCCCAGAGGTGCTCAGTGAAGGCTGGGAGGCTGCAGTCTCAAACTCCCGTGCTGGGCATTCCAGTAGGACATACGTGAAAGAATTTAAAGCTTCACCATGAGAGTAGTTGAGCACTGCAATGAGTTTTCCAGAGAAACTGAAGCATCTGTATTCTTTGAGGTCTTCAAAACTCAGCAGGGACTTCAGCAACTGGGTTGATCTCTGAAGTTAGCACTACTTTAGGAATGTGGGTTCCAAACTCAGTGTCCAAAAGTCACTTCCCCCTAAAGTTTTCTTGGGGTATATAACATTTTTAGTAAACGGAAAATATCACAGTGTTCTCTGTAAAAAAAAAAAAAAGTTGTTTATTCTGAACTTCTACCTCTGAATTCAGCATGGTGTAAGGTAATACGTATTATGCAATATGTTCATGCAGGGCTTCTTGTTCTTTAGTCCATTTTAAGTTAAATTAGATGTTGAATTTACACAACTTTCTGTCAAATAAGAGAAGTGGTTTTCACACTATATAAGTCTATAGAAGAATATGAGGTCTTTTTAAAACAATGAGGAATTTGCTTTGCAAATGACTGGATACCCTGCATAGCAAATAGGGTCTACAGTGTTGGCTGCAACACTTTTTTTCTTGTATGTTGAGAAATTGGCACTTGGTACTTGCCTTCTACTTCAAGGAACTGTAATTGCAAATATGAGCTCACAAAAGAGAGCAGACTGTAGGCTTCATATTCTATTTGTGATATATTTATGCAACTAAGTATTTTTATGAAAAAAATTTGCTCCTCTAGAATTTTCATTGAATGTTGTAGTGATTTAATGATTAGAGCTGAAAAGGCAGAGCTCAGATGTTCAGGTTTGATAATTTTCTGACCACCTGTTTGCATATATTATGCTCTAACACCTACCCTGTATGTTTTAGTTTAGATGCTTTGTGCTTTAGCATTTTAAACCCTTTTAGAGGATGTCACTATCCCAGTTCCTAATCCTGTTAACTGTTGTCTGTTTCTTTTGCCCTTCCTTCACTGGTGATTCCTGTGTTCCTTAATGCAGTGTCATGTAAGTCTAACTAGCTTGACTCTCAGCATTACTGCTTTATTCTTGCGCTTCTCTCTTCTTTTTAATAAATAATGTGCTAAAATAACCTTTCTGAATTCCACTAGATTTGTTTATTTTCAGACATCTGTAAATATATCAACATTAGGCTCATTCAAGCCAGCTAAGAACTGATGTGACATTTTTATAGATTTCCATTTCATGCCTAAGATTGTGTCAGGTGTATATTTGTATGGAAAACTAGCATGAATTTGAATTCAGAAGATATTCTGTTGTATTTCTTAAAAACACAATAAAAAATATTGGCAACTAATTTTTCTTTTTAATGATTTCTCTTCAGTGGACAACCAGCCTATGCTGCATTACATTCGAGATAAAACTGCAGTTCCTTATTTCTCCAACCTTGTCTGGTTTATTGGCAGCCACGTGATAGAACTGGATAACTGTGTGCAGACTGATGAAGAGTAAGCTTTTACAAATGCTGCCTATTGAATGGAAATGGTTCTCTCAGATGTCAATGGTGTCCTTATTTTGTCTTTAGTAGTTCAGTTAAGTTAGTTTCTAGATATGTTATAGACAGTTCATAGACTGTCAGACTTAGAGACGGGTCAAACTTTTCACTCTTTAAAGGTTTTTTTTGATTCTTCAAGGTAACAATGCTGTGTGCCTGATCACACAGCTGACACCCTACAAGTAAATCAGTTTTTGCAGCAAGCCTTTTCTTTATCTTTGTTTTGTTCTGCTAAAAATAGCAGATATCCAGAAGACACAACAGGAATTCTGTGCTTCTCAGTCTTATAAACTTCGTCTTTCTAACATTCTTTTTCTGTGTCATCTCATTAGAAGAGCTTTCTGGAAAGATTCTAGGAAAAAGATTTAAACTAGAAAGATGAACTTTAATTGTGAGCTGTCAGACCTGACATGGCAGTGTAATATTCCACTATCAAATACAGAAATACTTTGTTGATTCATGTTGTTCTTGGTTTGTCTTCCCATCCCCACCTTGGAGTGGGCATATGTTTCTTGCTTTCCTAAAGTGAAGAGGTAGATGTTAAATACAACACTGAATTCTTCTTTCAAATTTGGAAAAACAATCTTCTCATTTTTGTAGTTGGCTTGTGAAAAGACTGGCAATGGACAGCAAAGCTTTGTAAAAACAGGTCTTGTGGAAACTTTGAGGAAAAACTTGATATGTGCATCCTAAAGAAAATACAGGCAACTGTTTAATAGTTGCATTAGTTGACTTCACTGAAACATCTGCTTTGGCCAGTCTACTTGAGCTAGGTAATCTGTGGCAGGGATGCCCGTAAGTTTTTTCCCTAAGTTTTTAAGACTTTCCACAATTAATCGCGTATGGTTTTTTTGTTTCTGCTCTCTTTTCAGGCACAGAAATAGGGGCAAACTGAGTGACCTGGTAGCAGAACATCTTGATCATTTGCATTACCTTAATGATATCCTTATCATTAATTGTGAATTTTTAAATGATGTGCTGACAGACCACCTACTTAATAGGCTCTTTCTTCCCCTCTACGTGTACTCATTAGTAAATCAAGACAAGGTAAGCTAATGCCTGCAAACAGTTAATTCTCAAAGGTGCTGCTTTGCTTTGCGTGTGCCAAGTGATTTGGGCAGTAGGTATATGATATTCACAGTATCTATGTGTGGTTTACATGAAACAGCTTAAATAAGGTGGCTGTAGAGGAAGTACCCTGAGATGGAATTCAAGAGCACAGCAGATTAAGTTTTATTTTAAGAAATGCTGTTTTGGGTGGCATGGTGGTTAAAAGCTCACGATAGTGGAGACCAAGAACTGCAAATTTGGTACAGGGTTTAAATTTCTGTGACACTGGGAGATGTGTGATTTCCTTTTCTGTTAAGGTGGCTTGTCTTCTGGCAAAAGCAGAAAAAGCAAATTTGCCATGATCTAAAAATCTGTCCAGGTAGAAAATACACTTTTGGGTTTGATACGCATTTCTTCTATTTGTAGAGAAGCTGTGTTTTAATGTGATATAGCTGGATTTATTGTTAAAGCGTAGCCTTTAAATTAAGTGTAAAACTGGTTTTGAGTGAAGTAGAAACTATATTTTTAAACCTGCACAGGTTCTTGTTTTTGTAGGCAATAGTTCATGCTATCTGAATAGCTAATTTTAACAGCAGTCTTTAATGAGTGTTAACTGAGAAGAATTTTTTTAACAAATAGTAGCATATTGAAAACCAGTGTACTTCTCAGATGCTCACCTGTTTAAGTTACCAAAGTGATTAATTTCAGTTTTTTAGCCAAGGAAGAGTGAGGGATATGCTTATTCAGAGAATTCCCATTTCAAGTAGTTTACAAGTAATGAATGTTAAAAAACATGATGCTTTCTGAATATTTTGTAGCAGAGTGTGAAACAACAGAACTTTTGTTTAAATTAAACTTTAAGCCATATAAATTCTTGGTATAAATAAATAAGCATTTTTCATAACTTTTTTGTAGGGTGGAGAGCGTCCAAAAATAAGTCTCCAGGTTTCTCTCTATCTTCTTTCTCAAGTAAGTATGTTAAGTATTTGTCCTGTTTCAGAACAAATTTTGCAGTACTGTTGTGATTATAAAATAGTGTATCTTCATCATTTTGGCAAAGCCATAGAAGAAAATTTGTCAAAACAAATTTTAACCTTTCAGTTTCCATTAAGAAAAAGAAAGTAAAACATTTTTGGCAAAGTATTTTCTGTTTTGAATTGTCATTTTTCTAAGGATCCCACTGCACAGGGTAACCTTTAAAGCATTGCGTGTTCATAAATGGCTTACACACCCTGACAAATAAAGTATAATAGTCATGCAACATGCTGGGACACAACTTGGTACCACAGCAGATGAAATTTACCTAAATGCTGTATTGCATTTTTAATCTACTTAAGCTATGGAAAATTTCAGGTTTGAATTTTTCTCTTTGAAAACCCAAACCCCAAAAACCACCACTACCAAAATATCACTTTCTCACAATATGAATTTCCTTATGCCTATAGCTTGAATCTGTAATTAAGTACTTATTTCTTACTTGTATCAGTTCCACCTCCTTTTCTTTCTGGAACTTATTTTCAAATTAGGAGTTTTACAGTAGACTTTTTCTGTTTTGTAGAGAAAATGCATCTGTTCTGATAATGTTCCCGGCATTGCTATGAGACTGGTTTTCTTAAATTACATTGTCTGAAAATAGTTTTGACTTGTACTCATAGAATTTATACTTCTTTTTCTTCGAACTTAGAGTTTTTAACATTCATTTTATTATGATCTGGCCCATAATTTCATCTTTTTGCTAGAAATATGGGGTTGGAGTTTTTTTCCTAGGGAAATATAATTTGATGCTTTTTAATTTAACCCTAAAAAATTGTTGTGGTGTGAGGATTATTTACCACAGATAAAACTCTGGGAGCAGCAGCTTCTTGTAACCAGAGTGATCTGCATCATAGAGTTGTATAAGGTGACCTCTTTTAAAGTCTTTGCTTTCAGTGGAATTATCAACTAGGTATCACTTCAGGATTTGTATATATGTTCTTCATTCTCTTTAAAGAAGAAAATGGAAGGAGTCATAAAGAGCTGAGAACAAATTTTGTGTATCAGAATGGGATGTGATACAGAAAATGAAGGGACTGATTCTGTGACTGGCAGAGAAACATTTTTTCCCACCTCTTTTAACCTGGAGTTTGTCTGTGGCAGGGTGGGGTCTGCCAAACCTTCTTGTTTCTGTTCCTGACACGAGACATGCTCTAGGCACTACTCTTGTATTAGAGATAAGTGCTTGAGAGACTCATGCTGGCACCTGAAAATGCACTGCTGGGATTTCTCAGCCACTGTTACAAAGGGAACATGTGCTGTTCTTAAACAGGCCTGTGGACAGTCAAGCAACGCTTGATGAACTGGCAGAAGCTCGAGTGATTTGGAGATTGTTCAAAGCACTTTTGAAGTGTGTTGTGACTTCAAAGTTATATACAGATCACCACTACATGCTAATAGTCGCTTCCCTTTTGGAGGTCTGGAATGCTTCTGACTTTAATCTGAAAACCTGTGGAGAATATTTAGCTAAATATTGTCAAAGCAGTGATTAGATTTAATAACTCGGAAATTATTTGGTAATTTTACAGCTACAGCCACTGATAAGGCACCCAGCCTTGATATTCCTGGGAAGAGAATGGATATAAGCTGACAGAAGGCTATTGCAGCTGGGCCTGAGCTGGTTCTGTCCAGGAGCCAGGTGTTTGCTGGTGTTTGCAGACTTGGAAGCCTTGGCTTAAAATGGAGTAGTAGTGTAAGCAGAGAACTCTAATAAAGCACCATAGCACTTGTGCTCAAATGCTTCAGTGCTCCAGGCATTGTGGTCCTTATTCCTGTGTTCTGTAGCCACTGTGTAGCTGACACTGATTTGCTGCAATTTCAGAGCCAGAAAAGCTGCTTCTGATCCAGCTTAGCTCAGCATGGCCTTTAGTCATGAATCACTGCACAGTGATTGTGTGCACAATACTTGCTGGAGTCTGGCCAGTTGCTGGCACACAGGACTGGGGATACTGTGCACTGTAATCAGTTGGTTGTTTCTAAAAAAATAAATTTTTGGAATGGTTTTAATGAGTTCCTTGCTATAATATCACACAACTTTCCTTTCAAAGGTATTGAAGAGAGAGAATATACACTTCTCAGAAGGAGGAAAGAATATGAAGAATTAGTAAAACTAGGTAGCTTCAAAGGTAGGGAAAGTCAGATACCAGTGTCTCCTGTGTTTTAAAGAAGATTTAATGAGCTCTCAGTGTTACCAGCTGTACTTACATGTAAACTAAAGATAGCACTTAACAAGGTCAAAAGTATGTTCAGCTAGTGAAATTGTGAAACTATGTATTCTCTAAATATGTCTGATATTTTTTTCTGCTCTTTTTTAATAGGTTTTTCTGATTATACATTATGCTCCATTGGTGAACTCCTTGGCTGAGGTTATTCTCAATGGGGACCTCTCAGTGTTTTCTTCTAAGGTTGAGCAAGATATACAGAAAAACTCAGTAAGTGGCCAACTGTCTCTAATTTTTTTTTTAAGGCAAAGAAAATATTTGAAAAATAAAATGAGGTATCTAGAGACTGCTAAGCCGAGGTGTTTGTTTAGGAGAGGAGAGCAGCAGCAGACTTCAGCTTTTGTTGTTGGATCATCATTTTGATGGGACACTTCTATAATCCAGTCTTCTGTGTTCAGTTTTTATCTGCCCTTTGGTAGTGAAATGAAAGTGATTCAGCACAACTTTCCTGTGAAATTTCCTTGTGCAACTTGTAGTAGAAATGAGAGACTTAAAAAAAACACTTGGCTTGAGATTTTCATCTGAATATTCACAGTGTTTTAACAGTAGAACTGATCATCTGTGGACGCACTGATTTGTGCGTCAGTGAGCATGTGAGGAGGTACCACAGAGAGAGGGGAGCATGTCACTCTGTCATTGCCCTTTTACCTTCACATTTAACCCTGGGTAGATGTTGCTAGATGCTGATGCTGTTGTTACTGGTTTCCTAGGTGTCATGTTTATAATATTTTCCCTTTTGTTGTGGCTTTCACAGTTTGTGTAATGCTTACTTGTTACCTTTTAAAAGCCTACTTTGGGGATGGTAGCAAGTAGGGGGGCATGACTTTATTGTAACAGGCCTCTGGCTGTAATTCTGTGTAAAAATTGACAATATCCCCTCTTGACTGACTGGCTAGCAGTTGGTGACTGAATGTTTAATTTATAGCAAGCAATAGATTGGTTCTCATGTACTTTCTTTCCTACTAGTGGCTATAGCTCTGGGAGTTTCAAGGGGGGAAATACATTTCAACTCCTCTAAGACACATCAGCTTTTCCAGATTTCTTTCCACTGGGCATTAGAAGCTGTGTGGACTGATCTTAGCCAGTAGCTTTTGGGTTCTGATGTTTTGTTCTGTTGACCTTGGTATTTAGAATCTAACCTTTTTTAGAAAAAAACTATGGTAGAATAGTAAAGTTGACTGAATTCTTTAACATAAAGCAATCTTTTACTTATGTTAGGAAATGTCTGATGTTCTGCTAGCTGCATACTGAATGTTGTGTGTTACTTGTGCAAAAGAAGCTTTGTTACTAGGAAATTTGTGGCAAGAGGGTGGAGTACCATTTGTTACAGAAGTGAGATTTTTCTTTTCCTGTCATGGTTACTGTACAGAGTTACAAAATACCTATAGCATGTGTTTGTGTGCTTGCACTTATGTTAGGAATATTATGGGTTTCCTATAAACTGAAGTTTGTAATACTTAATACTTGTAAACAAGTAATACTTGTTTAGGTTGCTGCTCCTTACTGGCCTTAAATATGTGTTCTCTTGACATGTCATCTTGGGGTTTCAGTTGTATCTGGACAGGTACTAAATAGGAGGGGTATTGGCCTTCTGCAGCAGACCCTTAGAGAAGCTGCCAGAGGTGGAGCTGTGTTCCAGGGAGTGCAGAGCAGTGGGTCAAGGGAAAAATTTCCATGGGAGAAGCTTTAATTTTTAGTAGCTTCAACAATATTGTTGAATGAAACCATGGAGAGGAAAGCCTACACTGTCAGAAGCCCAGTGGTGGAGATTGCACTCCCCTCCTTCTGCCCATAACCAATGTCCAGAAGAGCTCTGTGCCCAGCTGCCTGGGAGGGGAGCCATGGAGGGAGCTGCTCTGCAAGGCTGGGTGGGAACAACTACAGGCTTTGCTTGGGCTTCCCTGCTGATACACAACTCAGTGCAGGCAGGCTCAAGTCAGCTGTAGAAATGAAGGCACAGTCATGTAAAGTGAGGCAATTTCTTGTTGCTCTGTGGTGGGAATTCATAGAGTGGGAAGTTGATTTTTTTGAGCATTGTTAGCCATTCCCAGGGGCTGTTCCCTGGACTGTGAGGGGAATGAGGATCATTTCTGAGTTGTCGCTGTGGTGCTTTCTGTTGCAAAGAAATTGCAAACTTCTATTGAATACTAAAACCTACTTCAGAAGTTAGTTTAGATTTTTTAAAGAGAAATGGTGAGCAGATTTTTTAATTTACTTTTAGTCTGAACATAGAATTGTTGTTTTTTTTCTTACATCAGACCCAGATTTATCATTTACTACTTCCTTTCTGTTCTAATTTGTTATGATAACCATTCTGATATTGTACTAAGCTTGTTTTAGGGATATCTGTGTATTGTGGTGAACTGCAGCTATTTATAAACCCTTGCTCTGTACCTAACACTGCTCATCTGTTGTAACTGAGATGTCTTGATATGTTTAAGTTGAAATGTAACTGCCAGTTTCTAATTAGCAGATAATTTCTAAACCCAGACGTAAGTAAGTAGAACCTCATATCTATAATCTTTCTAATAAGATAGATTAAGATGAAATAAGGTATAGAGTAAGGACTGAGATTACTAGATGCGGTCTTGTGTCCTCTTGCTGGGACACTGAGTAAAGAACACGCAACAAAAACAAAAGATGGGAAGGGTCTTAGTTGCTGTGTATAAATGCAAAATACCCTGAGTTATTTAGGGCAAAGAGCAGTGGTAGTTGTCACAACAGGAACAGGTGATACTGTTTACTGGAAATCAATTTATGGAAAAAATGACCAGCAATTGTAACTGCCAATATCTTATGAAATGGCAGTAACCTACCCATGGAGATTTGCTGAACATCACTGGGCAGTAGTGACTGCCTAAGCTCCATTGAACAAGTTCTCAACATCATTCTTTATTTTTTCCCTGTATTTCTGGTTTTATGCATCATCAGAAGAAATATAAACCCTTATCTCACAATGAGAGTTGAATATGTGTAGGCAACAGAATGTATTTAAACTTGTCAGATATCACACTAAGGTTTACCTTACTTCCTGTGAGATCTGTTTTCCTGCATCATTCAGATGTGGGCCAATTCTACCTAGTGCGTGTTTCTTCTTTAACCTACTTTCTCCTTCCCGTAAAGGGTGTTACTGGTATTGCCTTATTTTACCATCACACATTGCACAAGATAAACCATTATTGAAAATGTGGTTGAAAGGCATTTTAAAGGTATAAACTAGCAGTACCTCAAGATGTATAATCAATTTGTAGAATAAACTAAATGCTATGTAAATGAATTTTAAGTCTAATTTTAGAATGTTTTAATTATGTAGCCTTGTTGTCTTTAGCAGAAGAGAATATTTATGTAGGGTTTTTTCTACAGCATTCCTTCTTGGAGCAGACCATGGCTCAGTGTTTACGAGCACATCAGTGTTTACTGCTCTCTTTGCATATGAGATATAAAAGGATGTTAAGTACATGCCTTCTCCATAAAGAAGTAGCTACAAGTTTCTAGGAAGCAATGCAGAAGTAAGAAGTGAATGCAGAAAGGGGAAAATGCATTATGAAACTTGCATGCTACTTTTCTGTTTTTCCCCTAAATAGTAAGACTTAAGGTGTTCTTCCCTTTTCTTATGACTTTTCTGACCAAAATCCATCAATAAAGGTAAGCTGGTCATTTTCTAACCTTCCTGTGTTGCAGTTAGATCACACAAAAAAATGCATCAGAGAGGTTATTGGGAGATACAAGTGTAGTAAATTTCATATTGTGGGGGTATTTTTGGTATTGTAAAATACTCTTCCCACTATGTTTCTTGTTTCAGTCCCAAGCAAAAAGTCACTTACACAATATTTCTATAAAACGTTTGAAAAATGTCAGAAGATTCAGAGAATCATTTTGGCCTTCTAACTTTGTAGACAGCTTCTTCCCTGATCTTTTCCTGATTTTGTTTTTATGTATAGATGTTCCTAACTCAATGAAGGGAAGGGTTTTTTCAGACTTTTGCCCTGGAGTTTCTTTGATGCAGTCACCTTGAGTGCTTATTGTACTGAGTCACCTAAGGCAAAGAATGTAATCAATTTGGTATTTAATCTAGTCTTAGTTCTTTTCTCTTGCTTGCCCTTAAATTTTTAAGCCTTTAGGCAGTGTCAGCCAAATGTGATTGAAGTACTGAGCTCTGGAAGGTAATGGAGTTTCTGTATATGTCTCGTTTAGTGTAAGCCTGGCAGAAAGCTCCAAACCATGTGTTCCACTTCTCAGTAACAGAGAGGTTTGGTTGATCAGTGTTTATGTTGCACTCTGGTGATTAGCTGGCAGGCCTAGCCAGGGAGAGAGGAGCTTAAACAACACAGCTCAGAAACAGGCTGCAAAATTGTGAAAAAACAAGTTTGTTACTCCTTTTATTTGCAGAGCTTCTTGTAGTGTCTTGGTCACTTTCTATAAGAATCCATTGTTCTGTGTTGTTAGGATGACACATTCTTGAAAATACTTTGTTTCTTCTGGGAGAGATTTGTCATCTAAATTTTTCTTGCTCAATAAAATAATATTCAGGAAAATGAGGTGTTGGTTTGCCATCTTATCCTGTGATAACTTTGGGTAAAACAGAAGTAAATTAAGTTTAACAAATGAAGTTTTGTTTTTCAGACTTGCTAAGTCAATGTCTGGAGGCGCAAAATGACAATGTAATTTGTTCCTAGTTGATGCACAAATTAATTTGATGTTGAGGGAAGCATAAGACTCAAAAAAAAAGCAAACCAACCCAAAACCTCATAGCACAGAGCTTTGGATTTTGTCCTCACTGCTTTAAAAAGGTCCTTGCACCTTTCAAAAGGGTGTGTTTCATATTAATACACTGCTGTCAACACACATGAAGGATTTTGCTGCCTTCCTCCTTTTTACAAAAGGTGTCTGAATTTTATGTGTACTATTTCTCAGCCCTTCAAAGAAAGGGAAGACAGTTTAAAACTTGTAGTGATGAAATAGATAGTCTGCATCCTCTTGTGTCAATGAGGCCTAGTTTTTAATGATAGATCTTTGGGGTACACTGCTTTGGAGAAAATTGTGCTACTGATGATTTGGTACTAATTTTTTGTATTTTAAAATGGATTTGAGATTCATGAAGAGTGTGCTAATTTACATTTTATATGAACTGAAGTTTCTTTATCAATTACAGTTAAAAATGCCTTGCTGTAACTCAGTGTAAATTCTTCAAATTTGCAGGCAAAGTCAAGTATCAGATGTTTCATAAAACCCACAGAAACACTTGAGAGGTCTCTTGAAATTAACAAACAGAAAGGGAAGAAAAGGATGCAGAAAAGACCCAACTATAAAAATGTTGGTGAAGAAGAGGAAGAGGAGAGAGGATCTGAAGATAACCAAGATGACCTTGATAAAAGTAAAAGCACAGAAGCAAGTTCAAAGGGCGTAAGAACAAGCACTGAAAATGAAGGTGAGTATTCCAGCAAGAAATGGTTCTTGCAGTTTAGGTCCTTTTGTTTACTAATGGTCCTAGTTGTGATTTGTTACCTGACTTGTTCTCTTGCTGCACTAGGTAAACATGGGACTATGACTTTTGTCTTATATTTTTAATACCAAACAGAAATACTTGTGATAACTTTATTTAAAATATCAAGTTTTGATGGTATGTTTTGGTTTTTTTAGAAATAGAGATGGTAATCATGGAGAGATGTAAGCTGTCAGAGCTGTCTATCTCTGCTGTGACAGAACAGAATACAACCGATGAAGAAAAGAGTGCAGCTGCTTCTGGAAGTGAGATAACAAACTGGAACAGGTATAAAGGAACTGTAAAAGATTTTGCTGAATTGCTTCCTTACCTACCCTCCCCTTAAATCTTTTGCTTTTCTTGAAGCAGATTCGAAACATCCCTTTAAGTTAAAATTACAGGTTTTTTTCTCTATCACAAGTGAGTGAATCAATACAAAAGTGTAGCCTCTCTGCTGCTCAGTTTTGGAAATGATCCTATTCATTTGTAGTTTGTGCTTTTCTTTATAGCAGTTGTGATGCATTAACTTGGTAACATTAAATTACAGAATATTAACACAACAGAAATAGAATATAAATGTTTCTGTCCTGTAATTTCTTAAACCCTTAAATTAAGATAGACGTTTTATTAATTATATTTATGGTTGCATTTGTCCATTTTGTATGCACCTATAAGGAAAAAAAACAAGGAAAATTCAGTCCAGGGCTGAATTTGGCAGAATTGAAGTAGCAATAGTTACAGGTAAACCCTTCTAACCTTTATACCATTTCCAGGGGCCATTAATATGTTTTAGGGTTATTGGAAACTTCTACTGGAAATACAGTTTATAAGTGTTTCTGGGAGCAGAAATTGCCCTGACTTCAAAGTTTAAGCTTGGATATATTGGCTATCCCTAAGACACCTTCTCACTAGGGATTTTGCATTACTGTTAATAGAATGTTAAGAAACCAAATGTGCCTGACACAAAAGTAATTGCAAATGTGTCCATTGGGAAAATGCACATGTTTGATAGGATTTAAAATTTATTTTTAAATTTGGGAAGTGCTGCCTGGTATTCCCAGAATCTCATTCTGTCTCCGTTATAGCTTTGTAGTTTAGAGTACTTTCATTAATAAAGATAACATTTAATTTCATTGTAAAAGTGAAATTAAACCTTGACTTGAACTGGCTTTAAAACACATTGTTCTAGATTATTGATAATTTGACTAAAATATGTGCCAAATGGCTTTTAGAAAGAAATTGGCAGTGAGTGCATGGAATACTAAAGTGACTGGGATGCTTGGGTCTTGATCAGTGCAGAATGCTTAAAAGTGAGCTGCCAGTGCAGTTGGAAAATGTCTGCAGTTCAAGCCTCTCTTGATCTGCAGATGTGGTCTCACAGCATTCTGCATCTTTTCTACAAAGTGACATCAAAGAATGTGCAGAGCTAAAAGCAGTTTTAAAATAAGGATATGCTTTGGATAGGACAATTCTGGCCTTTGATTTATATGTGATTTTTTTTTTTTTTTTTTAAGTATCAGTGGATTAGTTGCTATAGCTTAAGATACTATGTTATATTACATGCCAAGTATAGTGTTTGAAACAGCAGCTAAATTTCTCAAGAGACTTGCTCCAGTATGTATAGTTTCTGTCCTGCACTGGTTGGAATCACTGAGCCTTGTGGATAAGGCACCATGTGAAAGTGGAAAATGCAGTGCTCTCTGCCATGCTGGAACTGAAGCTTCCACACTCGGAATAATCATTAATGCTTGTGGTGACAGACAGTGGCTCCTAGTGTGTTGCAGTATTCAGTTGTGGACAAGAATAAATGATTTGAGGAACACCTGTATGGCATTTGATCTGCTGCTTTTATCAAGCCCTTAGTAAAAGACTAATAGAAGAAGAAAATGCCTCCAGAGTTAAGAAATAGATTCGAAAATACTTACCATATAGCCTTTACTATGAGAAGTGGGGATTTTTTTTAAAACAGTCCAGTAGTAGCTGAAAAATAAATGGTAAACAGCACAGATGGCAGTTAAAAATCTGCAGCTGTAAAAGCTAAGTCAAGCTTTTAATTTCCCTTAGCCCTTTTCCTACTGTGAAAAACAAAATAAAAAGCTTAAGTATTTTAGGTGTAATTTTATTTTTATAGGCCTTGATACTGGAAAGTTTAAGCTTAAAGATATGTTTTAAATTAGCTTCATTTTATGAAATGCTGTACAGCAAAGCTTTTTTCCAAAGCGTGGCAAATCTTCGTGCTGTGTTGTGGCTTCTGTTGCTATTTTTTTAGGCTGAAGTTTTCCTGGGTCTGTTGTGTATTTAATCTAAATGAGGGACATTGGTGAGGGGGATTCTTGGAAGTTGTTTCAGCCTCAGGTTATTGTGGCTGAGACAGATCATGCCAATAGATGCTCTGAAGAAGCATCTGGAATGAAAATGGTGCATCTTGCTGCTGTAATGATTTTTTTCAAGTTTTGTAATTTCATGAATCTAATTAGTATGTGGGGGAAAACAATGAAAAACGCATTAGACATCACAGAAGTCATTTAATACTGTGTAATATTGGTGTTAATGGAACAACTACTGTGATACCTCAGCAGCTTTGACATGGTAAAACATTGGCTTTAATGAGATTATATTAAATAGTGCTTTTATATTACAGGCTAAGGTTTAGGTTGTTTACTGTCTGCTTTTGGTCTGAAAACAAACCAAGTATTATCTTGCATTTAAATATTTTAATATCTTGGTCCTCTTTGTTCTTTAGACCTTGGAGTTGAGCTCATTTTAATGAGTGAAAAGCCCCCATCTGAAGGTGATACTTGTAGGGCTTGTTTAATGCTTAGGAAACCTGAAGGCCTCCTTAACTTGTTTTCAACATTGCTAATTCTTTAGGTTGTTTTTCCTTGAGTAGTTACATTATTTTGTGTTCTACAATATGTAAATAATTGGACTTAAGCACTTGGAGCAATGTTGGACTTAAGCAAAGAGGGATCGCTGTCGGTGGCATTTCTGGTAGAGGAGCCATGTAATCCAGGCTCAGAAATGCACAGACGTGCACTGTGGCATGAGCTGAGCAGGGAACAGCGTGGGCTGGGATTCTGGTCACTGCCTGCTTTCAGTAAGGGTGAACACTCTGCTCAAATGAGCCTGGAGCTGCCGGGAAGTTCCAGTGCATTGTTATGCCTTGGGCACTGTGGCTTTCCCAGGACACGTTCAGTGTGACCATGAGGGCGCCACAGGTCTGGAGCGGGGATTGAAGTGTGGTGTGTTCTGATCTCTGACAGTCCTTCTGACCCCCAGGAACCACAGCAGTGAGTCTGTAGAGCCTGCTAATCTACTGCTAGACCTGAATACAGTAAAAGGTGTTTGCTTCTGTGACTTTGCTGTTACTTTTATGTATTTTCTTTTAATGTAATTTAGATGATAAAGGATATTTTTCCTTTCACTGTTAAAGCAGAGTTTAAAAGATGGGAATAAACCCTTTCCACTGTTGTTCTCCGATGGCTGTGACACTTACCTGACATATAATTTATCAGGGGCAGTTGTGAAAATATATTTAGTTTTTGCTTGTGCTCTGAACTTGAACAACTGACTGCATGCAAGCCAGCTTAAGACCAGAAGTGAAGCTGCCTTGCCATCAGGCCTGTTCTAATACCAGCTGAATCTCAGCTATATCTGATCTGTCCAAATGCCTTCTGGATTACACTGACTTTTGTTGTCTTTTCAAGGTACAGGTAAAGAAAAGGTGAACTTAACACTGTTTGTAGCCTCCTGTATGTGTCATAGGTCACACTGTTTAAACTCAGGAAAACAAAGCTTATCTGCAATCCATAGCATTTTTTCTCTTCAAATATTCCCTCCTAATTAATTATTCTTTTCTATAGCTGTTGGACAGCAGAATTGGTGTTCTAGAACTTAACTTCCTCTAAAATTCTGGTAAAAATGCTTACTTGTAATAGTAAGAACTTTTCAACTCTACTTAGCGCATGAGTTTTAAAGGAGTCTGTTTTATACAACAGTGATAGCAGCTCCTTAAATTTACTTATGTTGCACTTAAAACAAGCTCTGAAATGCTTCTGTATACTTATTAAGCAAGCTACAAACAACCCAGTACAAACAATCAATTACTGTGAAAGTATTACATAATAAGTCCTATTAAAACTCAGAATTATTGTCAGTATATAAATACAAAGCATGGCTGTAATTGAGTACTCTGCAAGAAACTCTATAACAAACTTGTTATAGTGCCTGAAAATGTTCATTACTGTAAATAAAACTGCCTCTTCCATCAGCTATATGTACAATGAGATAGTTACCCATTTCTCTATAGATTTTTTTAAACACTTTCTAAATTACTTCTTTCTACAGGCCTTTTCTTGATATGGTCTATAATGCACTGGACTGTCCTGAAGATGATTACTATGCCCTCTTTGTGCTTTGTCTTTTATATGCCATGTCACACAACAAAGGTAAGTGCTGTTATGTAGAGTTAACTGCAAGGCCAGGGTTGGAGGAAACTGTAAACTCAATAGTCATCTTCTGGTTTATGGGGTTTGTTTATTGCTGTCCTTTAGAATGGGAAGCAGATCACCACGGTCCATAATTATGTATTGTTCGAAGAGGTCTCCCAGCAAACCAGTCTTTTCTGAGAAGTAACTTTGATATTTTAGAGGAATATTATGAAGAAAGATGGGATTAGTTTCCTTATATAACAAGTCAGGGAACACTTCATTTGTGTTGGGGAGGATACTAAATGGGGCTACTACAAAATAAAACTCCTATTTCTTTTAATCGTATATGAACAGATGACTTAACCACCAAATTAGAATTTAAAATCAGACTTTGATCTTCTCCCCTTTAGTCATTATGCTCTCCAGATGTATGGCTTGACTTTGATTTAATTTAGATGCAAACAGATAATCTGAGAATTTCAGAAGCTGCAAAATAATTTGCATTTCACCATCCACTTCGGGATGTGTCTTCACCCAGTAGGCCCCATTTAAGGGCTGAGAATTTCCAGGGATTCATCAATGTTGTTTGGTCTTTGTTGTTCCTTCTTTTCCTTGTAATACAAAGTCAAAGCTATCTTGCCTAGTTTCCTATTGCTAATTGTTCTCTTCTGAGAAAGCTGCTGTGGTCTATTAAATGTTTGCCTTGGAGTGCACTCATGTTTTCTAATTTGCCTTTTTTGTCATTCATCCCCATGAAAGGACTTGACTCAGTCAAGCTGGAGAGAATTCAGCTTCCAGCTCAACATGCTGAAGAGAGAAATTCATATAATCATGTCCTTGCAGAAAGGCTCATCAGGATAATGAATTATGCTGCACAACCAGGTATTATTGCTTTTCCAGGGTTTAGTTTTCCTTCCAATGTGAAATTTTTGAAGATGAAAAAAGCTACATAACCCCTTGTCTGAGGGGAAGGTGACTGTTCATCTTGCTCTTTGATGAGTAGTCTGTAGATATGGTTTGTGAAAAACTGCCATTGGCTTTTTCTTGGTTGGTGAGGAACCAGAAACTTTGGATTTGTGCTGAGTAGTTGTTTTTAGGCTCAGAACTATACAAAGATCTATTGTCTTAATTTCTACCTTCTGCACTTTGGAATAAACAAAAATTGAGATTTTGAGTGGTTTCACCTTAATGGATTTCATCCTGAAAATATGATCTGTGGCACCTTTGCTTGTAGAAATAATTCCAGTGGAGAAATAGTCTTGAAAACTATGGTGTCCTTTGCTCATAGCAGTCCTTTGTCTGTCACCTCTAGGTGGTAGCAAATTTTCTTACACTTTTTTTAACTCAAATTGTATTTTTGGTTCTAAAGTGTTTTATAGAAAATGTGGGGTTTTCTCTTCCTTTTTTTATTTGTGTGTGTGTTAAATGAGGGTTACAATATTCCATGACCTATTCCATGAAAATATTATTTTTGTTCAAGCCACACCTCTCCTTGTACTGCTTGCCTTAGAATTTTAAATGGGTGGAACTGGCTTTCCCCAGAAACTGACACACTATCAAATTTTTGAATGTTTCTAGAATAAAAATCGAATGTTTGTTTGACGTACAAAACTGATCTACAGCATATTAACTTGTGCTGATGTCAGGTGAAAAATATGTTTATGTATGAAGAGTTTGTACCTACAGCAGGAGGAAGGAGTGCAAATGAGAATGTGTTTGTTTAAGTAAAGGTGTATCTGGGGAGAGAAGTGCTGAGCAAGGGTGGAAACGGGGGTTTTTATTCAACTTCTGTATGCTGTGTAGAGCATCTCCTTTTCTCTTCTAAGAAAAGCTATGCCTTATTAGTATGCTATGTACAAAGCTTCCTTTCACCTTGTAACTTCATCCATCCCAAATGTCCGAGATCCTTTTGTAATTTCAGTGTAATTCCACCTGTGCTGCAGATTGGTAAATGCAGCAAAACCCAATGTTTGGGCTTACTCTTCTATAGTATTAATCTTTGCCTTCTTATGGAATGGTTCTGCTTTAAATTTTCTTCTACTTTAAATTACTCTTTCAAATCTTTTTCCTTATAGCCATCAACATTGTAAGGCAGCATCAACACTCATCCCTGTCCAGGTGGGGGATGTGACAGAGGAGCAAAGTTTGAGAATTGCAGGAAGAGTAAAAACATTAAGAGCATGGGATGATGAGAAGAGCCATAACTAAACTGCTGCTATTTTGTATGTTGAAATTTTATTTTCACAGATGGAAAAATTCGTTTAGCAACTTTAGAACTTGGCTGCCTGTTGCTGAAGCAGCTTGTGTTTTCTAAAAATGGCAGGATCATAAAAAGTGTTCACCTTGATTGTCTTGAGGTGAGTATTTTCTTTCAAACTGCCAATCACTGCATTACTGGTGTTTGAGTCTTGTAGTATAGTTGAATATTTTTTTTTTCATTTCTGATTGCAATAAGCCTTAATGTGAAATTTGAGCTTCTAGAACATCTTTGCTTTGGTAGCTGTGCCGTGATCATAACCTATGTTCTGTTCTCAGCTCTGCTATTTTAAATTGTAATTTCTCAAGCAGTTTCTTTGTTTCATTGTCTCTCTGAAACTTGCGTGTTAGCTGTCCTAATAATGTAAAGAAAAGTGCTTTTGAAATAGCAAATAATATACTCACATAAGCTGCATTTTCTTGGGTGTAAGAACTGTATTTTATCAAATTCTGGGATTAAGGCCATAAATCAGGATATTATTAGACAGTCTATTCTGTATGAGTTTTTGGGTGGGTTTTCTAATGTGACCAGTAAGTGGTGTATATATTCCCTGAAATGCATTACCTCTTTCTTAGGGTGCAAGGGAGGAAAGTGTTCATCTCCTTCGTCGTTTCTATAAGGTAAATATGCAAAATGCTATAAGAAAAAGGTTCTTTACAGATGGAGAATGTGTGCTGCCCAGTCTTTACATAGTGACTGAAGAAGCACCTTTTTTAAGATGGGAGCTCCAAGTCTGTGAGAGAGAAGGAAATGTTCTCTTGCAGAATTCCTCTCCTTTCCACCCTTCCCATACCACCCTGACATATGTCACAAAGGGCTGTTGGAAGGCTCACAGAGTTTGTACTGGGCGTCAAGTTTATCATTGACACTAATATGGAATGTTTGGTTTGACATTACTTTTTGTTTGTATCATATCAGAAATGATGATCTAAAGTTGTAGTTGTTTTTTTTTTTCCTTATTGAACACCTTTGCAGCTTTTTACCTTTGTGTCTGTGTTGCAAACAATGAAAGAAATTAAATTTTTTAGCCTTGGGCATTAACTTCTGTATAAGGAGTAGTAAATCCATGTCAGATTTCAAGTGTCTGAAATGTCTTCCTGTTTTTCTTAAAATTCTCTTGAAGGATGTTTGCTTAATGTGACTTACAGAAAATAAGCAACTTGTGGTGGATTGACCTTGGCTGGCTGCTAGAGGTCCACTCAGCTGTTGTCTCACTGCCCTTCCTCAACAGGATGGAGGGAGAATAGACTATCTTGTCAAGATAAAGAACAGGGAGGTCACTTGCCAGTTACAGTCATGGGCAAAACAGACTCAACTTCACAGAAATTATTTTATTGCCAAAAATAGTAAATTTAGATAGTGAGAAACAAAGACAAATTAAAACACTGCTGTCCCTCACCTCTCTCTTTCCCCAGGCTCAGCTTCTTTCCTTGCTCTTCAACCTTTTCCCCCTGTGAGTGATGCAGGGGCAATGGGAAGTAGGGATTCAGTGTCAGTCCACAACAGCTTCTCTCTGTTGCTCCCTCTTCACACTTTCCCCTGCCCCATGTGGGTCCCCTCCTCCATGGGCTGCAGTCCTTCAGGACAACAACTGCTTCAGTGTGGGTCCTGCAGAGTGCAGCTCCTTCAGAGCACACCTGCATGCTGTAGTGTTGGTACCTGCTTCACCATGGTCCTCCAGGGGCTGCAGGGGAACCTCTCCCTTTCTTAAATGTGTTTTTCTAGAGGTGCCAGCAGTGCTGCTGAGGGGCTCAGCAGTGGCCTGCAGCCCCAGCCTCCCTTCACAGACACACTGTACAGAGCCAAACCTCACAGAGTCCTAAACAGCAAGGCTTCATGGGATGTCCATATTCTTTCCTTTGGAAGGGAGAAGAAATATTTCTGGATATGTTTGAAGATGAATACCGGAGTATGACCGTAAGTGAGACCCCTTTTGCCATGGTAAATCCTCAAACCCAGATACAGCACAGGAACAAGAAAAAGTTCTGATAGCTGCTGATGACACTGGGGTCTTTATTGCTGGGAGTAGGATAACAAAATGTGGGTGGTGCTTTTGTCTCTGAGAAGTCGTGTCTATACTTATATAAATTATTTATGTGAAACTTCACAGCTCTTTATTAAATAAACTTTCATTACTTTCCAAAATTGAGTATACAAAAATTGCATCAGCCTAATAAATGGGACACTGGACTTATTTTTTTTGCCTTAAAGTCAAAATTTAAAATCAAACCTGGAAGAATTTGGGTTTTGGTATTTCATGGGAATTCCAAGCACAGAAAATCCTCAAAATCCTGTGCATGCGGACTTAGACATGAACAAAGGGTTTGACCTGAGACCTTGGAAAAGGCTTCTGCCTTTAAATCCAGAAGAATTTAGAAACCATGAGTAAAGAGTGTGGGGTTTGTAGTTTAGATAGAAAAGACATTAAGATAGGTAGTAGAAAGTTGTAAGGTTTTAAAAGTTAAGATCTAGAAGTAGTTATAAAGTAATAAGAAGTTTGAGGTGTAGCAAATAGTTTCTTATACCATTATGATTGGTTAAGAATGTCTGCGCTAGAGCAAAGACAGATGAGTTAGATATTGGTGTAAAAGTAGAAACATTGTTTTGTGGGAGAAACTTATTGGCTAATTAACCTTTAAAAGACCTTGTAACCTGTGGTCTTTTGTCCACTGACCACAAGCATCTGGTGAATACAGTGAAGATGCTCTCACACCTTCATGAGATCATGCTTTAAGACGTCTCCCAGTGGTCCCATCTCACTCAATATCCTCGCAGTATTTAGGAAATATCTTTTCTGTAATCTTGTGTTTTTCCTGTGTTTTATTTGTATGAAAAGTTTGGCAGTGTGTCTGGGAGCAATGAGAGATTGCATGTAAGGACCTTTAAATAAGACATGGCATTAAAAATTCTCAAAATTTTAGAATACACAGCAGTGAGTTGTATTTGAAACTAAAGAGGCAAATGCTTATTGTTCTGTATGGTAACCAGTGCTAAAATATTTTTATAGATGAAACCTATGAATGTAGAATACTTGATGATGGATGCCTCAATCTTGCTACCCCCAACGGGGACACCACTGACTGGGATTGATTTTGTGAAAAGATTACCTTGTGGAGATGTGGAAAGAACACGAAGAGTGAGTAAGACTGTTTTTCTTACATTTGTTCATGACAAAATGATGCCAAAATCATTGAGCAATTCTAGGAATACAAATACTTTTCTTTGTAAATTGCTTGATTGGAGGCTTCATCCATAGAATCCTAAAAGCTTGATGAAGACAGGTCTGTGTAGAGTATATAATAATTACCTGCCCCAGGGGAGAAACTTCTCTGATTTCTTGTGTCTAGTCAATGCAACATATTCTTGCATTGGGGTTTAAATTTTTCAGACCATTCAGAAAGCTACATACAAAGGCATTTTGATGACAATGAATATGTTGTCAGCTTCTTTTGTGATCTGCTATCTCAGTCCTATCTCTTAATTATATTCCTGTAGTAAGAATCTCCATGAAGACTGACTGGCTTTGTATTGTTCATATTTCTAGACATGGCAAAAATTTAATTTGACTTGAGAGTTCATCTTGCCAAGGTAATTTGTGATAATTTGAGAATGAGGAGAGAACCAGTAAAATATCTATTTTTGTGACTGACACAATATGTAGAGGTGATACTGACCTGAACGGCAACATCCTTATTTCCGTTCTTGGTCCTTATCTGGCTGTGTCCTGGAAGCCTTGCAGTGTCAGTAAGTCTAAGAGATATGTTGCTGCACAAAATCATTATTTGGAAAGTGCTGTTCTCTGTGTTTCTTTGCATTTATATAAGTGTATTATGCAAGTATAGTCAACTACTCTTGAAGAAAAAAAAACATATTTCCAGGAATCTTCTGAAAAGGTTTGTTTTCATTGCTTATAAGCCACACAGCTTTCATTATCACAGCAAGTTGTTTGATAGAATGCAGTGAATTATTTTAAAAGGTATTATTCTTAGACAGCAGAAATGCTTCCTGGAATTCTCTCTTAGACATTTAACAGAAGGATACTTAGAAATACACATTAGTGGAAAATGACTGTTCCAGGATTTTCATGTTCTAATATAAGGAATAGCTTAACATCTGTTGATGGAAATAAAAAAAATCAATACAAATATTCCTGTAGATCCTTTGGGATGAAAAGGTCTCTATCATCAACAAGAATTCCCAGAATGATTCCTTGTTGGTGCTCCTCCCCCAGTCACATTGCACTCGGGTTTCAATATCTTCTCAGTTCCTGTGCTGCTTCCTTCCAGCCAGGCTGCCTCACTTGGCTGAATTGTCACAGCAAAATGCTGGACTCAGGTGTACCTTGTGACACTGCTGCTGCCACTCAACCTGCTAAGGTTCTAATGATGGATTCAAATACAAAAATATTTGATTCTGAGTATGCTCTGACAGGATTTTAAAAAGTTCTCAAGTTTTATTTCACTAGCAAGGGAACTGATTATATTGTGAGTTCTTAGCTGTTAGGACCTTACTTCCTTGCTATAGAAAGTCTGAGTGGCAGCTTTTCTGCTCTTTAAAAACTTTAGAAGCTGTCAAAAATCTCACTTTATGAGAAGTTTTTGAAGTACTAAGAACATTTTTTTGTGGGAATGTAATAAGATAGTAGTAGGTTTCTTTGCAAATTGCTGTTTCTTTGTGCAAGGAACATGTACATAAATGAAGAAATCAACATCAAAATGCCTAATTCTTTAATGTAAGTAGACATCCATATTTGTTCCACGTTAACAAAAATAACCCAAAAAGTCAGTCAAAAAAATTCTAGGCCACAGAACTTTTCTTACTCTTTTGTTGAGATCTGATAAAATGTGTTATAAACAATACATTGATATTGGTAACAAACTGAGGGCTGTCAGTGTTGTAGGAAGCACAGCATGATTCTCTGATGTTGTTGTTCATTTTATCTTATTTTTTTTTTTGCAAAGGCTAAAGTTCTAATTTTATTTTTTTACTCCTGTACTTTGTTCCACACTAAATGCAATTACATGGAGATGAGTTCCATTAGTTTGATAGGAAATGAATGTGATAAAAATTAATGCAATCTAGAAGGAAGAGGTTTGAGGGGGGAGATAAGTGAAAGCTGAATAATGGTTGCCCTCCAAATTTAAAAAAAAACAAACAAAAAAATCTTGTTGGGTTTAACTTTTGGGTTACCAAAAATGCCAAGATTTTCCTGGTCTTGACTGAATTTGGCAAATTTTAAACCAAATACTGTGAATTCTTCTTGAAGCACCTGGTAGGAAAATTGCTTTTTAGTAAACCTGCATAATTTCAGTAAATCCACAAAATGTTAAAATGCAATCTGCATAAGAGGGAGAGATCATGTCTTGTTCCAAAGTGACTCTATTCTCATTAATTGAACACTATTATTATCATATTTTTGTTCGATACCCTTGATGTCCTTTGCTCCACAAAATCATATTGCCCTGTTAAATTTCAATGGTGTACATGGCTTCCCTCTCTTCATCCCTGTTCTGCCAGAAATTTCTGGAAGCACTGCCAGTAGGGAGCTGGCCAGGCACTCACAGTTCTGCTTCACAGGAGCCACCGTTCTGTTGATTTTAAAAATAGAGGAGTGAAGGGTTTTCCCTTCAAGCACTTCAGATTTGTTTTTCCTAATACTTCCTGCAATCTGGGAGTTTGTGGGCACTGCAGCTGTTCATGAATTCAATGCTCTTACTGTAAGGCAGCAGTTAATTTACAGTATGCCACAGAATTACTGTGTAGGAAACTCGTAAAAAGCAGAACACCGGAAGTAATAAAAAATGATTTTTTCATTTGCTATACTAAAAATGCTGTTCTTGTAGGGAAAGAGGATTATAAATGGTGCCTTTCAAAATGTGGCTAATAAAATGATTGTTCTTTGACGCTTTGGGTCTTTGCATAACATATGTCATGAATTTGTAAACCAAAGATAGCGTATTCATTTCACAGAGGAGCTGTTGAAAGTTTCTTGGGATCGTTGCAGCTTTCAGAATGTTTTACCCTGATGAAGACTTTCTGAGAATATAAATTAAGTGCTCCAAGAATGTTACATTATATGTGGCCAGTTTTGGTGAGCACAGCAAATTAAAATGCAGAAATCCCCAGTCTTTCTCTCTTAAATTGTAAATATCTTAGCTGGACTTGGCCAGAAAGGTTATTACTGTTTCTGTTCAAAGTTCAAAATGTGAGTTCTTGAAGGTTGGTTGTGTAGGTGTCTGTAGCACAGAAGTGTTGCAAATACAATCAGTCTTAAAATAATTAAAGATTAAAGAAAAATATTCCAAGATTATTTTTTCTTAAACAGCTCCTTTAATTGTTTCCCTGTCAGTCACAATCTGTATAAGTGTGCCAGTGAGAGAAAAGCTCTGCTGCTTCTATTTTACTGAAAATAAGTAGCATGTTTCAGCTTTTCATGTCTTTTTTAAACTAAGTTGTAAATAACATTCTACTTTTTCAATTTGAAATGTATTAAAATTTTAATTTTAAATGTAATAAAAATAGTTACTGTAGGACAGCAAACTTGGGGGTTGTAAAAGCCAGTATATGTTTGTAAGATTGTTAAAATATGTAGTATTGGGTGTAAAAATATTCTAATATTCTTTTCTTTAATTTCTTTAGGCAATCAGAGTTTTCTTTATGCTTCGTTCACTGTCACTGCACTTGAAAGGTGAGCTGGAAACTCAGTTACCGCTCACCAGAGAGGGAGATCTGATAAAGGCAGATGATGTTCTGGATCTGAGTAAGTAGCCCCTCAGTTTTCTAAATAGTCTAACATGAAAATATTACTGACATTTTTTTTCTCCTAAACTGCTTGTTACTGCTCTTCTTAATTAAACTACCTGAAGTAGTTGTGTTGAAGTTCTACTGTGTATTGTAGCATAAAAATGTATTTTTCAGTTTCAGTATTTGCCCATACAAGAGACTCAGGAGAGTATCAGTATTTTGTCATAAAGCACATAGGAGTCAAGTAATTCCACAGAAGGTTCATTCCATACTGCTGCATATGCTGTCACCAGAATCACAACTACTGTTACTTTGCAGTGTTTTTCTACTGTAAATAGTTTTGAAGCAATTACATATTATGTGATAACTGCCTTAGACTGTCTGTGAGGCTGGAGGCATTTTCAGGCTTATTTAGCAGCTCACAGAGTGAAGTCACTGGCAGCTCAAATTAACAGCCTCAGTGATTGGTTTCATGTGGTAACAGAATTCTGTTACGGCAATGTTTTAAATGCCATGGCTAAGAGATAAATGAGGTTACATTTAAAGCTGTTATTTCTTTGCTGAAACAGAAAAAAGTAATACTATAGTTAAATTTCTTCGATCACTCTGCCAAGTATTCAGGCTTTAAAAGGCCATCACAGTCAACAGCTTTTAAAAAAGATTTGATAAAAGTTTGTGATGGAGTATTTGAGGTTGGAAGGAACTTTAGTAGATCATTTAGTCTAACCCCCTCTGCTCAAACTGGAGTCAGCTAGGAAAAGGTGCCCAGGACAACTTGTTATATTTGTGACAAAGGAGAGTAACCCAAAGTGTGGTGCAGGTGTATGACCAAGGACACGTCCTCTAACTTCAACTAAATGTACTTCACGGGAACAAGGTGGATTCATGACTGGTTGCTTTCTTAGTAAAGCAGAGTGTAGTCCCAGATGGGCTGCCTTCTGTTGGGAAGAGCTCTTCCTGTGAAGTGGGAGGTGCTGCATTCACTGTCTCCAGCCTAATGCTTATCTTGGGCTGCCAGCTGTGCATACAAAGGGCTGGAAGTTTTCTGTAAGAGCTTTTAAAATCTGCAGATGATTTCTGGAATTGGGATGACTTTAAATTATAAAATCATTAGAGATCAAGCCCTAAAGCAGATCAGGTACATTTAGACCATCTCAAGTAGCTGTTATATTCATAAATATTTCTTACAATACAATCTTTTCAGGCAAATATTTTCATAAAGACAGGCAACTGTTTTCACTTAATTTACATCTTCAGCACTGCAAGCAGCTGAGGTCTATGAACTCTTCTTCCTTAGCTGTATTTCCTAAAACTTGGATTTTTCTTGGACAAAGTCCACAACATCATGGATCCATGCAATGGGTGTGTAGTGTCTGGTTACAAGCTACATTTTGCATGAGGAGAAATTAGCCGTTGCTGTTAATCTTAGAAGGGACACTCCAGTTCTTTGCAGCAGTGTCACACCAGGAAGCCATTCAGCCTGTGGTTCACTGTAATCCCCAGACCAAATTTGAATAGTACTGAAGTTTACTGGACTTGATATTTTCTTCTGAATGTGGTTAGGTATCTCTAGCTGTTTCATACCATAGCTGTAATTATTTGATCAGTTCACTGAAAATGTGTTTAACCACACTTTCTCTTCTGTTTTTGTCATCAAGGATGACAGTTTGACTCTCCAGCAGCTGTGAACTAGAAACAGTCATGTAAATGGAGTACATTCAGTTGTATAAGCTCATAGGATTCCTGTAACAATTGCCTAGTAAATGAGTAACTTTCTGTTCTTTGAAAGACTTACAGTAATGATTTACTTCAAGGTGTTGTCAGATCTAAAATAAAAACTTTCTCTTCTGGAAAGCTTTCTGCCCTCTGAGTTCTTGAAGTAGCATTTTTGTGGCTGGACAGTTGAATTTTTACAGCAAGTATTTTAACCTGCTTGCTGTTGCACTGAAAACTTTGTAAATACTGGTCCAAAACTATCATTTGAGAGCTCCACAACTCCATTTGATGTTGTGGCCTGTTTGTTGAGAATCTCCCAATAGACTCAAAATTTGTCAGCCTGACATACTGTGTTTGGAAGAGTCCTTAATCCAAGCACTTCATGTCTTCAGAAGAATAGGACTGCTCCAGGAATTCTAGTCAACTGAAATAAATATATTGATGGACTAATTCGGTTAAAGAATAAAAGAGGTAAGAAGTAAAACATAGTAAAATAAGAAATACCCAGTTCTGCCTGGTGTCTCCTTCTCTAAACAGAAATAAATCCTCCACAGGTTCTTATAGTAATATTTGCCTATCCTGTATGGATTTCTTGAGCTTTTGAGGGCTAGGAGAAGGTAATAGCAATCAATCTTCACGTTAACTGAATCATGTCCTGTATGTATTGTGTTTATTGATTAAACTTGTTTTCTCAAATTTCAAAAGCTCACAGTAGATTCACACTGGTTAGCAATAATTATGCTCTTAATTGTATTAAGGCTTCTATATTTCATGCCTTTCTTTCCTACCACCCAATCAATTTTGAATGGATCTTGCTGGTAGAAGGTAATTGTTAGATTCAGAGAAATGTTAGTTGGAAAGGACCTCTCACTTGTGTTTCTGGGTTTTTTTTTTTTTGGGAAGAGGAAATTGGTTTGGTTTTTGAAGCTTGAAAACTTTTGGTGATTGAAATTCCACAACATCTCTGGGTAACCTGCTGCACAAAAGAATTTCTTCCACCTTCTGACCATAATTTTTGGCTGTTGTCTACAGCTGTATGACCTGTCACTATGAAGAGCTGTGCACTTACACTTGTAGCTTATCCTGCAAATGTTTCTAGTATGAAAATGATGTTAAATGTTTGTTTAGATGTTTGGATGAGTAAATAAGTGCTACTGTTTTGTATAGCTTTCAGAATATTTTACTTGCTGTAAATTGTACTAAATGAGAGAGATGAAAAGACCTGTGTGCACCAAGTATATGAATGAAAGTATCAATATGATGCAAAAGGAAAAAGCAGCTCTTAGTAGAGTCAGCAGAGCTCTGCTAGGGATTGGCACTGCCAGTTTAAGGGCTGCTTGGTAGATTTCAGCTGGTGTAGAGAGGGTGATTTAGCCCCTTTTCTTGAATAATGGGATTGAACTGGAATGGGGCAGTGAGGAAATGCTGGAGAATGTATTTTGGGGTTTGTTGGAGGGGTTTCTGGAGTAAGAGAGGGTATGTTTGTTCAATATAAGTGAATTAAATATATGGATAAAGGAAAAAATGTCACCTCATTAGCTCATTTAACAAACATTGTCAAAACACTGCTACTGTTTACTTGGAGGGTCCAAATAATCTCGAAACTGAAGTTGGGTCCAGGAGCCCAACATAGGTTTCAGACCTGTACAAAAGTAGCCTGTGTCAGGAGCCAAAGTTTATAACAAGTTAGAAGTGATGGCCTGCAGTGGTGTTGGGCCTGGCTGTGGTTGTTAACAGGACTTCTTGAGACTTCCACGTAGTGAGAGAAGTTGGGACTGTTGCAGTTTCACCCCTGAGATGAAGGGAGATTTTTTCTGGAAAGTGATGAAGATGGAAAGAGGTACATATAGTACCCATCTTATATTTAACTTGTAAGATGTCTAAACCACTGTTAAAATCTCCTTTGCCCTTTCTATGATAGAGAAGTTAAAATATCCGTGAAAAACATGAGCAGAAGCTTTAACCATGTGTTGTCAAGGTTATTACATTTTTATATGTCAACATTTTATGTTATGTAAAATACCCACACAATCCAGAAAATATCCACATTCAACTTCAGTGTTACATAACCTCTTTTCCTTTATTCTTTCAGATAACAGTGATCTGATTGCTTGTACAGTCATAACAAAGGATGGGGGTCAAGTTCAAAGATTCCTGGCTGTGGATATTTACCAGATGAGTTTGGTTGAACCAGATATTGCCAGACTTGGATGGGGAGTAGTTAAATTTGCAGGCCTTCTGCAGGTAAGGGAAGTTGTAGTTTGGGTGGCCAGCTTTTCTGAGCTGAAAATCTACATTTTATGTTGGATAAATAGTAATGCAAATATTAGCTTATATATTTAAGCTCTGTACCATGCTTGCTTGTTTCTTTGGTCACTAGTCTTTTTTTTGCTTTCTGCCTTTTAAAATATTTATGATTTTCTCAAGTTTACCTATGTAACCAGATACACAATTGCAGATGGGGTAACTTCTTAACGTGCGTTTGGCTGTGCTCATTTGAACACTGAAGTCACATCTGGTTAGGATTGTGTCCCAAGCACTTCACTCAAGTAGCACGTTAACGAACTCAGAGTTCTGGTTTTCCTACACAGGTAGAGAAGGTGACAGGTTGTTATTTTGAAATTATCTGTGCTTATCTAAGGAAGTTTTTCTCATTTGTCTCTTTCTTGCCTTAGCCATCACTGTTTCTATTTCCTGAAAATTTGCTATACTCAAATAATTTAAATCAATCTCTATGAATACTGATTTCTGAAGAAGTAAATCCAACTTTTATAACTTGCAGAGTCTGGTTTGGTTCTCTTTTGTTGGGTTTTTTAACATCGGGAACTGTCTTTGTAAGAGCTTTAATGGAACATTCATAGGATTTTCTTTAAATGTTAGCATTTAACCTGTGGTTTAGAAAAGCTTACTTTTTCTTAAACTACTTGCCTTCTGCTTCTCTTTAGGATATGCAGGTGACTGGAGTAGAGGATGACAGCAGAGCCCTGAACATAATAATTCACAAGCCTGCCTCAAGCCCTCATTCGAAGCCCTTCCCGATCCTCCAGGCCACGTTTATTTTTGCGGATCACATTCGCTGCATCATCGCCAAGCAGCGCCTGGCCAAAGGCCGGATCCAGGCTCGGCGCACCAAAATGCAGAGAATAGCAGGTGAATGGCTGTCCTGAAATGATTCTGGGAGGCAGGACTTGCCTGTCATTGCATACATGTAAAGCTGAGGCACCATGAGGGGTGGTGGGCCACAGAAACCTATAAACCAGGGCTAAGTTTCTAAGGAACAGATTTGGTTTCACATTTAACTTTGAGTTTATGAAGTGGATATGTCATACTTTTATGGCTTGCTTCATATAAAAAAAATTTAAAGCAAAGTTGAGGCTATTACAGTTGATTTGATACTAAAAATTTTAGGTTAAATATAAAAGGCATTTACTTGCCATTTTAAAGCAGATTGTCTCTTTAAATGGCTTTCTGCAGTGCTCAGTAACTAATGAATTACTTCATTTGTGCAGGGAAAAACAAAAGGGGTTTTTTATTGTTAATAACTCCTATGTTTTTTTAGTGCAAGGGACTTCCCGTATCCTGAGCTTTAGCTCTTTTCCACTGTATTTTGAGGTTTCCCTAGTGTGAATGTGGTGTGGACAGCAATGTAGGAAAGGTTGCCAGAAAGATTGGCTCTTTAGTTTGTCAGTGCATTTGTAACCATAATTAAGAGGGAAATGAAGGCAAGTTCTGTTAAAATCTGGTTTAGTCTTGAGAGTCTGAGCAAACTATCAATTTTCTTGTCAACTCCTCTTCCTTTTATGTATTTGAGTAACAAAAACTATCAATTGTGATTAAACATAGCTCTCCTGGATCTTCCTGTTCAGCCTTCAACTGAAGTTATGGGTTTTGGACACAGCTCTGGAGCTGCAGCCCAGCACCTCCCATTTAGATTCTATGACCAGTCCCGGCGTGGGAGCAGTGACCCAACAGTGCAGCGTTCTGTCTTTGCATCTGTTGACAAAGTCCCTGGTAAGATTAGCATTCATTGACAAGCAGTTTTTGCTTTGTGATTTCTGTCTGCAGAAACTGTACTGGAACTTGTACAAACAATGAAAAGCTTATTGTGATGTGTTCCTGAACACACAACTCCAGGATGAGGCTTATGGAGAAATTTACTCTGAGAGAAGCAATACCTGGGTGTGGATATGTGAGCAATACTTCCATGGCAGTTTCCCCAGGTGGCTTAATACCTTGCCTTCTTTACAAATCAAGTTAGTTTAAATCATGCTTTGCATACTCAGTGTTTATGAAACACATTGTGTCAGTTGTGCATATTTCCTCCTTTAATTTGGTTATGAATGTTTTCATGCTGGATTGTGAAAAGAGCCAGGATGCTGTGTACTGCCTCATTTCCCTCAGAGTGGGCAAGACAAGAGAAAGGACCACAGCTAAAACAGGGCCACTCCTAAAACATGAACTTGGAACTGGGATTAAAGGAATGATTCTAGATCAATGAGCTCTTTGCTTTTTTTGTGTCTCTTTATTGTCTGTTTCACAAATTGACTTCTCTGCAGAAATTCTTTTCCAGATGGTGACATCTTTCCTTTTGAGTTGAGTAATTTTAAAGGGAAGTCTCATACTGCTTGAAAGTACTTAACTGTGCTGTATTATATTAAAGATCTCATTACCACTTGCTGCCAGTCATTTCACAGAATTCAGCATTTCTCTTTAAATGTGATTCAGAATTCAAATGCACAGAATTCAGATTACTTAGAACACAGATGTTTTACTGCTTTAAGGCTAAATTGGAGCTCAGTTGCCCAAGTCCTGACTGGGGAACAGAAATTATAAAACCATAGATGTTGTCAGTCAGGTGTTTCAAAGTGTATGTTGTGTGAGGGGAGTGTTTTCCTTACTTGAGGTGGCTTCCACAGAAAAGGTGTGGTTGGAAAGGTGCCAGTGTTACTATTACAGTTTTCTCTAGGGAGTGTGGACTTGTGTTCCTAACAAATTACTTAATCTCCTAATTTGAAGGGGGCTATTGGGGATGATGCAGCATAGTAGTTTGTTCAAGCAACCACATACTTTATTTGAATCCTGGAAATGTAGACTTCCATTTGCAGATCAAGAGGGAAAAAGTATTTTGAAGCTTTTATTTGATACAAAGTATGAAAAATGAGGCACATAACTTGAAGTATTTCAGGTGCAGCATCTTTGAAATGCGTTTTATGACAGGTGGTAATATAATGAAAATGGATTAATATGCTGTTTTACATCTGATTACAAAATAAGTATCAAATGTGAGTTTGTCCTCTTATCTTTGCTGAGGAATGAATAACATTTCCTCGTTCCTAGTGATTTACACAGGGACCTGTTTGTGCTTGTCCCTGAATCAGGCTTGCAGTGGTTTTTACTTCAAGAAGAGAATTTTGTGGCTTTGAAAAAATCATTGAACGAGCTGCAGTTAAATTACTGGCTTCATGTATTCATTTCTTACTGCACCAGTTCCAGCTGGTGTTTTAAGTTCTGCAAAGCTCATGCAGTCAGTTAATTTGGTTGTACTTTTAATAAATAAATTATGCTTTCCTTTGGTGATGTCCTTTGTAGATTTAAAGGAGAGCAATGTTTTTCTGGCAACATTTTTAGAAGACTAATTACTACTTTTGGTAGGACCATGTTGGCTGTCAGCGCTGTACATCCAGCATTGTTTTTAAGAAACTAAAAATTATATAAACATTTTCATTCCTCCTGCAAATTTCAGTCTGTGAAGAACTTTAATACAACTATTGACTTGGTTCCCTAATTCCTATTTAGAATTTTCAAGAGCACTCGTTGCAGTTGTCTGGTTCAGTTTCTCTCATAGTGCCTATATAATGCTCTGCATATGTCTGCAGAGAGCCTGCAGTTACCTTCTGTGTTCCTGTGTTGTTAAACTGGGCTTCGTTTTCCTTCATTGTTCCACAGTCCAAAGTTAAAATCTTGGTGTATGGGGGGAAGAGGGTAAGGATTATTATATCTAAAAACTGGATTTTGTGCAAGACAAGTGAATGGTGATGAGCATGTCACAGACAATGCTTCAGAACATCCCACTGAACACAGTGGACAGTTCAGGTTATCCAAGTGCAGGGACATGCTGTAATCATCTCCTGATGGGCTGCACAGTTCTCAGCAGAGAAAAACGTAAGCAAAATCCCTCACTCAGTCAATTTTATCATCATGAAGTCATGGCTATGAATATACTCCAAGGGCTATTTTAAGTTATTGGCCTTTGCTAGAATGTTAGAGCATTTTAGGGATAGTGTAGCTGGCTGGACTGTTCATCATCTCATGTATTAGCGATGTATGAATATATTGTACTTCTGAAGCACCTATGTAAATACAGAAGTATGCTGTTTTCAAAGAAACCAGCAGATTTGGTGGGGGTCCTGTGAACAAAGGTCTTCCGTTGAAAGTAAATAAGTAATGACTTCCTCTTCAAGCTAACTCAAGAATTAGTTTCAAGTATCAGCTCTATTCTGAGATTTATATGTCCAGTGTGTCTTAAGGGAAATGTTAATGATTTCCAGCAAAAGGTACATCTAAATATTTTAACAAGTGTGGTTGCTTACCTACTAAGTAAATTTATTTTGAAAAGCAAAAGGAATCAATAGATTTCTCTTACTGTTTTATCCATTGTTAATATCTTAGTACATGATGATAAGGTTTTGAGGGGAAAAAATTAAGAAAAAGACTTCTTGTTAACATTGACATGGCAAGCAAGCTATAACCATCATCACTTTAAAGTCTGAAGGAAAAAAATCATCCATAGCTTTGGAACACTGTGTAGTATGAGCTAATATTCCTGTCATCATCAGATGAACCTTCTAACTGTTATTTTGCTTCCTGTATCCGATTAATTCTGCTCACCTTTTCTTTGCAAGTATTTCCTGAAGGAGTTTCCAGAGTATTTTTTCATGGTCAGTAGTTTCTGAGTTACAGTATTTTGAATTATTTAGGCTTACCTTTCCCTCCTACCTAAATTAGCTTCTTTTGGCACACTTAAAATTCTTCCTCTGCAGTTGTTTTGGGAGAGAAAATACATCTCAATGTATTTTTGTCATTTTGAAGCAAATGCTCCCAAGTAAGGATATGAATCCACAAGTGCTGTTCTGCAGAAGCTTTGGGCTTGCAATCCTGCTAAATCAGACCAGCTTTCCCTATGGCAGTCATGGGAGACCTTGTTAACTGTTTTCTGCTGTTCTGGTGAGGGTGGAAGATTTCTTCTCCCTTGAACTGCAAATTGTTTATGGATATAGAATGCTTCGGATGGGTACAGCTTTTACCAGCAGTGTAAGGGAAGCTAAATACCTTGATGTAAGCTCTGCTATACCAGTGTCTTTAGGAACTGTTCTTAATTTCATTCACATTAAGAGTTGGCTTTGCCTCACTTCTGTGGTCACAAGTCCACTGGTTATTCCTTGTTTCCCAAGCCTAACTGGTATTTCAAACTATGAAGTGTGTATGAAAAATCTAATATACGTTTTCTGTGATTAAAAACTATAGCACTCGGGGCCAGTGATACATGTGGAAGTCTTTCACATTTGAGGTGGTTCAGTTTGTGGTTAACTTTTTGCAGACTATCAGGCGTCACTGTGTGTAACCTCAGTTTAACTTACCTAAATGATTGTAGAAGATCGATGGGTTTGGTTTCTGAAATAAAATAGATGGATTTATTTACATTTATGAGATAATTAGCTCCTCACGAACTATTTTGTTTTTCACTGAGAGATCTCTTCTGCCTTGGTGGTGATTTAATTCTTTCAAGTGGTGTTCATCTTGAACATAATGAATTGTAATTTAATTTGATAAAAGTGACATTTAGGTACCTATCTAAAACTGCTGCAGTGTTACAGAAATTCAGATAGCATTGTGTTTCTGCAGGTGTTTTTGAGTCTAGTTCTTGGGTAAGCATGAGAAGTAGAAGGTAGAAGGACTGCAGATCAAGTCAGATTGTTAACAGGACTGATGTCTGTTAGCTTTCTTCACTGTGTTGTTTTCACTTGTACACAACCTCTCAGTGTGTTGCTGCTAACAGCATTTTCCTGACTTGTCATATCTGAGTTTTGAGTGACTGCTTCCTCTATGACAACAGCACATTCCCGATACAGGAGAGTTTCTGAGTGAATCATCCGTCCAGTGCTGTGGGAGATTCCTATATAAAAGGAAAAAGAACTGTGTGGTGCATTTTCAGCCTTGCCTGACTGACAGATGCTTTCCCTTTTAGTGTTGACTTTGCAGTGAAGGCAGCGAGTATTGTTAGGTGTTTTACAGGCCACATTGTGGCTACTCTCAGTAATCCACAGGAGTGCCAGAAAGACTTCTGCATTAGTACTCTCCCATGGGAGAGGGAGGAGAGCTGCAGAAGAGTTGTGTACCTCACCTGACCTACAGCCCATGGTGAAGACACTTCTTTTGCTGTAAGGAGGACATCAACTTCTGAAAAGCTGCTTGCTATCGAAACCTGAAGAGGTGACTATAGGTATGTAGTTATAGAAGGAGAAAGGAATGAATGCAAGGTGGTTAAGAAAGAAAAGGATGATACACTGCAAAGAGTTTAAAGAAGTATTACACTAGAAGCCAGAAGATGACTCATCTAAGAAGTACTGTCAGACACTGTATAGACCTTTCCAGTCTTCAGACTGGAAAAAGTTTAGTTTCTGAGAGGCTGGATGAAATTCAATGCCAGCACTAGATGTGATTGATTAAAATTTTCTGAAGTTATGTCTAGTAAAAAATGTAGGCCTTCTATCCAAGGGGTTTTTTTTGTTCGCTTTTCGCTTAATTATTTTCCTTATTAGATTAAGGTCTGTGACCTGTGAATATATTGACAATATCAAAAATGGAAGAGTTTGGACACGTTTTGACTGTGCGACCTCTAAGTTATAAAATGCTTTGAATCCCTTAACTCTACTTCCTTATTCATTGATCAGCCTGTGTAGCCTGTTTTCAGTAAGGCACATTCAGATTTTCTGATTTTCAAGATGAAAGTGGGAGAGGACACATCCTCTGGATTGATGAGGTTGGCATCACCTTGATACAGGATTTGCTTTTTACCTTTTCCCAGTTTGTTCAACAGCTTAACTCTTTCAAAATAATATTTAACTTGTAAACTTTACTGTCCTGTTTTGCAGGCTTTGCTGTAGCCCAGTGCATAAATCAGCACAATCCATCCCCACTCTCGTCACCATCCCCTTCCAGTGGCAGTGGCAGTACAGGACGCTGTGATTCAGTGACTGCAAGCTCGACATCCACTCCTTCTGCTGCTCAGAGCCCAGCAGGTATTCACCTTCAGCCTAGGCGCTAAGGGATGCAGAGCAGTTCATTGTAAAATCAAGTTACTATGTTACTGGATTAAAAGAGTAGGGCTTTATGGTTTTATATCACTTAATCAACTAAGCCAATTGAAAGTAAATTCTGGTGTAAATTGTAGTGATCTCTTCATCTTTCTGGAACTCTAAGTATTTGGCGTCTTTCAGTAGAGACTTTTAAGTACTGTTGAAATAATGTCCTGCTTGTCTGACTTCTCTCCTAGCACAGCTCAGCATGTTGAGGGTTTTTTTGTCAGTGGTTTGTTTTAACTGAAGTATTGCTTTGAATAAATCTGTAATGTAAACTTAGCCTTTCACCATAGTGGATAAGTTGATTTCCACATGAAGCATCTTTTTTTGAACAGGGTGACATTTGCTTTTGTGTGTTTATCTGATCCTCAACTTAATTTGTAACAATGGGCTAAATACAAAATATTTGAAAATAGTTATTTAGGATGTTAATATTGTAAAGTTTTTGCAATAACACTCTTGTGGCTGAACACTTAGACATTTCAGGAGGCTGTTTCATTGGTGCGGAAGAGGCTGCAATAGAAATAGACTGACAATGTAACTTTCACAAATGTAGGTTGGTTGTGTTTGCATTGGTCAGTATATTTAGGATATTTATATTAAGTGGGTATGCTAAAACTGGAACTTCTTGTTGTATTATTCCTCCTTTTTATGTAGTAGTTATAGAGAATCTTGTAATGGAGTCTGTTCTGAGTACAAATCGTGTGAGGCAAAGCCTCAGGCTGGAGTCTAAACCAGGAAATCCCAAAGGCTGCATCCTGAAATGGTTTCATGCTAGAAGTGACCTACTCCGCCTCATTTTGGTTATAAAACAGTAGAGGTAATTTGATTCTCAAGACTTTTTCAAGCAAGCCCTCATTTTAATGGTCACTTCTAAAGTTGATCACTCCTTGAGAGTGTTGTTCACTACTCCTTCTAAGACATGCTATTTTGCGTTTATTTGGAAAGCCCATCTATATCTAAATTCATTGCAGTCCTACAGGAAATGATGCAACCTTTGTTAGGTATTGAGTGTTTTTAGGTTTCACTGAACAGTGTCAGCAGATCAATGTGCGTTCTATGTTTAAAGTGAGTATCCCTGCAAAAAATACTGCTGAAATGAGTGACAAAAGGCCGCTGATTAAGTTAAGGAACAATAGAAATGTAAAGCATTCTAGCACCCAGACTCTAGATTCAAAAGCAGCTATTAACTTGAGAGACTAACATAATAGTCAAAATAGTCCTGCAATATGTGTAATTTCAGAATAAAATTTGGAATGTTTTTCTATATACTATTTATTCAAAATTTTATTTTCTCTGTTGGCAAGTGATTGCTATTGCAGTCACTTCATGGCCCAAATAAGGTGTAGTCATTGCACAGAGAAGTGCTGTCATTAGTCAAAACTCTCAGGCTGAACTGGCAGTATAAGAAAACATGAATTTGATGACATGTTTCTCCTTAGTGGTGTAAGAAGGCTCATGTACCAGTGTCTTTTGCTGTATTTGAATCCTCTGTGGTCAGCAGAGAAATGCAGCTACAGATCCTTGTCAATAGGGGCTAAGAAAACCACAGTAAAGCAAATGAAAATAAAGAATCTGTATTATTTTTGTAGGTATAAGCAATATACTAGTTCACACAAGTATCAGGCAAGACTATGCTTCATTTCAGAGGTCTTTCAAGCACACATAATCTGGTTTATATTAAAAAATGCATAGATGCAGAACACATAATTACTCATCAAGTATAGAAAGATAGTGAATTATTGAAGTATAATCACAGACTCTGGTTAACAAAATTGCAGTCTACTTACACGGTATGTTGGTCTTTGTATAACATAAAATTCTGTTTGTTTTTCCTGCATTTTAAAGAAGTTTGATGACAGGAGGTGCTCACTGGCTTCCAAACAAAATAAAGAAAAACAACAATAAATCCCAAACTCTTCCCTACCCTCCTCACACCCAAAAATGAAAATAATGAAAAAACCAAAACCAGGGGGAAAGTATTTTGAAATGCCTGGTTTCAGTATGCACTTTACCAGTTAGCAGCATAAACTGCCCACCTTGACCTTCATTGTGACTTAGTCATAAAGTATGTGCAAAATGGCATGTGTTGTGCAGGAAAATTCTTTGGGTGTGCTTTGATTCTTATTTCTTTTGTGATGCTTTAGCAAATGTAGGTGTGAGGATCCACTCCTGTGCACAGTCACCTTCAGCCAAGTCAGAGGAAATGAACCTGACAATGGGCATTAGCTACTCCAGTCTCAAATCAGCAGCCTCCACGAACTTGCTGCTGACTTTTGAGCTCAACTTCTGAATTTTGTTCTGCTCAGAGGGCAGTTACAAAGAGGAGGACAGTGACTGTGGGTGCATTAGCAGGTGTTTCATTGCAATAGGATAATGCACAGTTGGTACTGAGGTGCATGCATTAGCTTGGGGATTTTGCTGGACCATATTTGCTCTGACCTTCAGGACCAAGAATCCCTGCCATGTTCAAAGGACGAGTGATCAGTTCAGACTAATATGTTGCTATTGGTATTTGAAGCGTATTTGGTACATTGTTGCAACATATCTTATAGTTTTGTTTATTGTAAAAGAATCTTACTAATGCACAGAAACTATTCCTAAAATCAGACTAAAGCAGTAAGTGTGCTTAATTCTTCAAAGCTGCTACCCTGATCTGTACCAAACTGTTTAGTGCAGTTCCAGGCAGTAATGAGCAAGTAGTGATTTAAAACCTGTGTCTGAGTGTCTTATGGTGTCTCAAGGTCCTTACTATAGACTAGTGAGAATTCTGAAATCCCTGGAGCTAGGTCTTTCAGGAGGTATGAATGTAGGAAGGGTTTTCACCAGTCCCTGGAGCTCTGTGGACACGTTTTGCCAGTACTCGGTGTCATTTATTCTTGGGATCAGTCTCTGCATTAGCTGATTGACCAGTTTACTGCAAGTTTGAATATTCTCTCTTTGGTAGTACTTACATGTAGTTGTGATCTGTAGTGGAAACTTGCCAGGAATGTGGCATGAAAGTGAGGGTCTGTTTGGCAAGTGCAGGTAGCTGTTCTGCGGGCTTGTGCATGGACAGAAGTCTGCTGAAGTAGGTGACAGTGCCATGAGCACAGTCTGTGTTATATCAGGTCATAGTGACCACTCAGCTGAGACAGGGAAACAATTCACCCACTTCTGTGTAAAGCAGTGGTTTTCTCTTAGCTTAACCGCTTGAGGACAGTTGAAACTAAACTGCTGTGAAGCAGAAGAGACTTGCGTGATGTGAAGTGGCTCCTTTGAGGAGGAAGTAACCAGTTGCTGATGAGTGGCAGGCAATTACCAAGATAGTTTTATGTCCCAAGATAGCATGAGTGCTGCTGCAGTCTGTCACGGTGGTCTCATTTCCCATTCCATTTTGAACACACACACAAACTTGTAGGAGCACTCTGCCCCTCCTTCCCTGCTTCCCTGTTGATTCTGGCACCTGCTCAAGTTGTTGAGCATGAAGAGCACCCTGGGTTGCTCAGGAACTTCAGACAAGAAGGCCAGACTAGATAAAGGAGAGATGCCTATCTGGACTTCAAGGAAACTACCTCACCTATCTTCCTTAAGAACAACATCTTGAAACACACAGCTTTTTATATTGTGAACTTGTGATTATAGTGTCCTAAGCTACAGTGTGTTGACAGATTTAAACTGGTCAGAGTTTGATATATTTGAGATGATACTTGTAAATCTTCACAGAGTTGTTTCAGGAAATAAGATTTGGAACATAGACTCCAATTTTTATATAAAACAGTGATATAGGAGAACAAAATAATGACAAATTGAATGTTAATTAAGAGAAAATGTTACAACATAGAGGGTATATTGATGATTAAACAGCAAAAGAACTTTCAAAAATGTGTCACAGGAAGAAGTTATGTTAATTCAATGTTTGATATAAATAATTCACTTGTTATCACTTGTACCTGCATCAAACAGTCATAAAGTGTTGCATCAGCTGCTTTGTTATGAGTGAGATAAACTCCTGTGATTCCCAAGTTTATTGGCTATCCTACCTAGTAGTTGTCACACTGCTTTATGGCACAGATATTTTAAAGAATGGCAGCTCGCCCATTTGTGGTGTTGGGGGATTAGGTTTAGCTCTTTACAAGATTACTGTTCTTTAAAGTTCAAAAAGCAGAAATCATCCCTTAAAGAAAACAGAATGCTTAGCAAGACAGAAAAATCAGTGTCAGGTTCTGCAAGTGCTGCTATCAGGTTGGTTTTTTTTTGTATTTACATTTTTTTATTATTATCATGTGCTTTTGAAATGTTGCTATGCATAAGATGGAAATGTTCTCTTGTTAGGCAGCTTTTAGTCATCAAGTTTCAGAGCTTAGAATACAGTCATGTCTTGGCTGCCCTTGCTGGAACTGTGCACTTCTTCAAAGTGCTTATTTTCATACATGCCATGGATTAGATATAGAAGCTCTCTTACAGTAAGTTAGCAATCTTCCAGAATTATGAATGTGTTCATGTCATCTGTGCTGTATTTTATTACTCTTTAAGCTGTCTTAACTTTTAAAAAGCAATTGGCTTCAGTACTTAAGAAAGTGTTTACATTGGAGCAATAGATAATGAGGACTTTACAAGGCACTGGTCCATGCCACTTCAGTTGTATTTCATGTTTCTGGCAGGTATTGATGATAAAAGATCTAAAATAAGTACTAAGAGCTGTTGTCCCTTGTTGCAGAGAACATATTGGATTCCAGTCTGTAAAATTAAATTTCCATTCCAAGGAAAGGGTGATCAATCAAGCATGGAAAGTTTATAAGAGCAGTGCCTGCCTTCCTATTGAAACCATCTCTGTCTCTTACCTCTATAATCAGTAATGTAAATGTGGTTTGACCTCCTGTTCTATGATGCTCTAGTAATTTTCTGACTAGGTGAGGAAGTACTTTTGTTCTTAGAAAGTTTCTTTTCTAGGAACTTTCTAAGCACCAAGCATCATCATCTGAACTGCTGTTATCTTTTCAGACCCTGTTTGGCTTTATCATAAACCAAATGTAAATGCTACTGTTGGGTATGAGAATAGTAGGGCTGAGCAGTCTGAAGTGTTGTCACCTGCACAGTACTGTACCGCATATAATTCATGGCCAGGGGAAAGGAGAATAATTCTGTGTCACCAGAAATTGTGGTAAATAACTTCTTTCAAAGTTTCTAAAGCAGGTGAGTAGTTTGTGATGCAAATAAATACCTGCCAGCCCTCCTTGGTGTAAGTGCTCTTGGTATTGCCAGATGTAGCCCAAACTTACGAACCTTTTCAGATAGGAAACAAAAAATAAACTTCATATAAAATCATTTATTTCTAAAGAATGAATACTTCCAGCTTCAGAAGTATTTCCCAAATGTAGAAGGCTCTTGGAGTGGTGTCAAATTGTATGCAAGATACCAGCAGTTACAGGTGTGTCCTTGTCACTTACTCTTGTTACTGCTCTAACATTTATCCTTTGTCTCCATTCCAGTTTCCCTTCCCTGTGTCATTGTTCAAGCCTCTGTATGATTTCTGGCTGTGTTTCCCTCTAGTAAGGTCTGGCAGGAAAGGACGCCGGCGGGTGTTTAGTCTGTCGGAGGCTGACAGTCACGGTGGACACTGGGTTTAGGCCTTCCAACAGCAGCTGCAGCAGAAACTCCCGCAATACCCACTCAGGCAGGTTCCTCCATAAGCCTTCACAAGCCCATAACAATCAATAGAACATATTTGCTTTCCATGCTGACAGCAATGACAGTGAGGTAGGAAACTGAAGAAAGCATCGTAATATGTCTCTACGTTTTGTTTTGGGAGAACTGTAAAGCAGCAATGAGCTGTTTCTGAAAGCCTTGTCTGCAGCTTCTCCCTTGTCTCTGGGCACTCCTGACAAAGGTGGAAATTGTGCTATCAAGCCTCCAGCTTCAAAGCAGCAGTGTCTTCATTTGCACAGGGCAGCTCTGGCTGTAGTGAAATTTAGTAAGCACAGGCTCCTGAATGGACAGTAATGCAGGACCTTGGCCAGCAGCAAGAAATTTATTTATAGCACAGGTCAAATGGACAGGCATTCAGCATAAGACTGTCCCTGGACTCTGATGGCACAAGCTTAGTTTTTCTGTGATCATCAGATTCTGGCAGATGACTTTATGGACTGTTTTATTGTCCTCACCTGAGGAGGTGGGGAGGGAGAGCAGATGCAAAAAAAAAAAAAATGGAAATGTGCTCCAGATGATCTTTGTTATATAATGTTTTAACTTGTATCTAATTAATTTCTTTGCTTTTGTTACTGTCATGGCGTGAACATATTTCACTCTGTTAATATTATAAAAACACCCTTTTTCATACTTACAGATTTCATTTGCAACTTTTTGCGTCTTGTCTTGTAATTTGTATTTTTGTTATCCTTTCATAGTATGTTGCTGTATATCTTAAGCCACTTCTCTGTGGGTGGTATTCATTCTTTCCTTTTTCTGTTCTTTTGTAACTTCTTTCACAGTCACCCTTAATACAAGGTAACATACCAAGTTGAGTGTTTTAGTTGGGTTTTTTTGCTGTAATGATAATCTTGGTAGCATTAAAGAACTGCTGAAAAAGATGTAATGCTGTTGAAGGCTCTCCATCCAAAAAGAGCTGATAATACCCCCAAAACTTGCAAAATTACACCTTGTGTTCAACAAGTAAAGTAAGTTTGGAGGTATGGAAGGCTGTTTGTTAGAACTCGGTGTTAAGATCAGGACCATTTTAAGAAACTGACTTCACTCTCCCTGGTTTTGTTGTGGATCTGGCATATATTTTGTGCCAAAACACTCATTTAAATATATGGAGATTGGAGAGAGAGAAATAGAAATGCTGCTTTCTAGTATTAGGTGATAACCTTTTGATATTTAAGAGCAGAGCATATCTCAGTGACTGGTGGTTGTATCCAGGGAAAAATTACAATATTTTTTTCTTTCTATGCAAAAGTCAATGAAACGAAGTGTTGGGAGTTTGGGTTTTTTGAAAGCCAGTTAGTATTTTTATATGTCGCAGAAAGGGAAGTTCCAGATAAAAAATAGAGAAATTAATCTGTAAACATGCTGGGTACATGAAACTCTTTAGAAGTAAGAGCTTGGTACCTATCTTGGCACCTGCTTAAAGACAGACATTCTTATGAGCTCTCCCTCCTCTACCCCTTTGTGTGCTGGGAATTGCTTTCTGGTCATTTTGGCAGTAGTGCCACCTTGAGTTATAGCAGTCAGCCACTGTTCCCAGAAATTCAGTGCCAGAGTGATGGAAGTGAGGCTGGCAGTGACTAAGGACATCCTGAGAGGAGAGAGAGACTGGCTTCTACAATAGTAAATAAAAGCTGGAGGGAAGCAGAGGAGAGCTCTGATCTTGTATTCTCTACAAATGCTGCCGCTGAAATACTGCACAGTGTATTCTGCTTACAGTTTTTGATATTTTTATCTTTCTTCTTAATGTTTTTTGAGACTTTCATGTAGAAAGTTTGGACTTGCTATCTCCAGATACTTTTTTTTATGATGACATTTTTCAAATACTTCTTGTTTGTGGCATTAAGAAGGCAGTCACTTTAGCATTAGAACCTACCTAGAAGCATCTGGGGACAGTCCAGCATAACAAAAGAATGTGTCTTTCATTATGTTTTTCATTATTTCAGAAAATGCTACTATTAAGAAAATACATAGATATTCTATTGGGAGAGGGAAGGAATGATTTAAGAAATGATGTGTGGATTCAGAAGTTAAACAGAACTGCAATAGAAATGTGCTTTATACAACATTCTGAACAGAGTGCATCGATTGATAATACCATACTTACCAGAATGCCTCAGGTTTCTGAATCCTGAATTCGGGTGACTATTCATGCTATAGTATAAGTAAGATTAAAAAATTATCTTGGCAAAGAACATTTGATATCATTTTAAGATTTTATAGATTCAAAAAGCAGAAACTCACTGTCTGTGCATACTGAGATGTTAGTGTTTAGCTTGGAATTCAGAGAAATGAGCCTGTATTTCATTATTTTAGCAGTTAATTTTCCATGTGATTCTTGCATCATTTCTTCCATTATCAGTTGCTACATTCTCTCTAAAGCTTCTTGGCAGATTAAAAGAATCTGTAGGGTGACTTTGATTTTGTCCTTATAGTTCAAAAATAACCACTGATGTCTTCTTTATTTAAAAGTAGACTTTTTTTACCATCTATAAATCTTATTTTTATCAAAGCAAGAAGCTTTAGCCACAAATTCAGCAAAAAGTACATGTGAGTGGTTTCTGAAGTGAGAATACACCATTGTTTGGGTTATCTTGCCATAAAGGTAAAAAAAATCAATAATTTTAGTGTTATCCACTGATACCTTACTAATATCCATTCCATTCTCTACTTGTTTTTATTTTTTTTTCTTTTTTGCTATCTTTTTTTTTGTCTTATGTTCATGCTTTGTGTTCTTTTCTAGGACTAATTGGAATCATATTGAAACGGAAATATTTTTAAGGTCACTGTGTATTAAAACCATAACTTAATTCTTAACTTCTGTATTCACTACATTGCCTTTTAGGCTTTTCTGCAGATGCCTGTACACTTGAACACATGCTGTTTCTTACAAAAGCTTTAAAACTGGTCTGTCTTGAAGCTGGATACCTGTTATTTTAATGGTGTCTATTATTGTAGTAATAGTAATTGTATTATTATTGTCTGAAAAGAAAAAAAACTTTTGCCTCTTTTGGGCATACTTGATCATCTAAGGCTGTATCACCTCATCCCCTCCATTCGCTCTCCATCCTGAGCCAAGTGAACACCTTGCTTGACAGTTCACTAGGATTTTTAGGAGGAAAGGACAGTACAAATAGCTATTAATGTTGGAGGTTTTTTCCATAATGTGGGAAGGTGCAGTAGCATATCTGTTTTCCGTAGCATTTATGCTTATTCTCAATTTTATCAGTGTTAGATGCTCCATGCTTAGGAGGACAAAACCCCCATGTCTCACAAGGCTGTGTAAAACAGGCCTCTTCTGCAGCACCTTTCACTTGCAGTTAAGACGTTATCCTCCTTCCCCTTCTGCCATAATTCTGCTTTCTGTGGTTGAGGTGTCACTTAAATGTGAATCTGGAGGATGAATTGAGAGAATGGCTTCCAAATTTTTGTAAGAAACAGGCCACCTTTTGGGAAAGCTGCCTGGTAGAGTGGTTCTTTAGTTTTTTCTTTTATTTCTAAAGTTCTTCCTGATATGGGGTTGCAGTTCATTTTAGTTCATACTAAATACTGGAGAGGTTTTCTTTCCCTCTACTTCCTCTCTCTAAGAATATATCTAATATTGCTACGTATTCTAATACTAAATGTATGTAATAGTCTGGTTCCTAATTTGAAGGGAATCCTGCTGCCATTTTAGGTTATTCCTTTATAATAATCTGGGTTATTTCTTGTTGCTAAAATGTGGATGTGTGAGCGTAGTTCTTCACAGAACTGCATTTTCCACCCAGTTATTCTTGAACACTAATGAATAATGGTACATTGTTAGGCTTAATGTGCATACTGACTTGAATATTGATTGTTCTTGGTGTTTTCTTTTTGCAGATGATGCTTCAGCTCCAGAGCAGCCTCTGATGGCCAGTTCCAGTCAGACAGTGTTGACTGATGAAACTCTTTCAGCTGTTTCAAAGTCCAGCAAAAACGCTGTAAAAACCAGTGACACAGAAACAGCCAACCTGTCTCCCAGCCTGATTCCTGCACAGCAGCCCACAATATCCTTAATCACAGATGACAACACGGACACGCTGAGCGTGGAGTCGCTCACACTGGTGCCACCAGTTGATCCACACAGCATTCGAACATTCAGCTGCATCCCTCAGGCCTCTTTGCCGTCTGAAGTTGAAGCTGACAAGGTGAAAGAGGTAGAGGAGGAAGAATGTTCTGACTAAAGCCACCATGCAGGCTCCAATAAATAGCAAAGGAAGCGCAACCAAATTGTGATTTGTTTTTTCTCTGGGAGTGCAGATACTTCTGGGGGCTTGAGAGGCCTCAGGTCCACACGAAGGGACCAACTGGTGACCGAGAATGTCAGCAGCTTTTAGACCCAACATCGGATACTCAGCATATCTGAACTGGAGAAGAGAGGAAAAACCCAACCTTTTGAACCTGAAGTGGTTCTTTCCTACCAGTTAATGTCATACAGGAACATGAACGTATTTCAGAGAACCTACTGTCTTTCTAATAGGAACTAATTAATTGAAAGGTCTACAGTATTATGTCAAAGTGAAGAGATTTTTGGATACCCAGATTCATGGTACTGCATTATTGCGTCTCGGAAACAAGAGACGTACCATTGACCAGAAAAAATTATATATTGTAGGACAGAGGTAAAACTTCCATTTGAGTCAGGGTATGTTTTTTCAGTTTGGTCTTTGGTTTGGGTTTTTTTTTTTTGTGGAGGGGTTTGGGGGTTTTGTTTGGTTTTTTTTTGTTTGGTTTTGGTTTTTAATCCTGATCTTGTTCATCTTTTGGATGTCTGCACAATACCAGCAGGCTTGGCCACATTCAGTATTGACTTGGTAGGACTCCAGACTTAAATATGTTTTCCATATGAAATATTTATTTCAAGGTTTGATTCAAAGTTAAAATACAATGCTTGTTCAGATTAACATAAGGGATTTTTTGAGACTGCTTTAGTCTTTGCTTAGTCGCCTAGAGAGGAATGTAAAATATTTTAAAATATTACTATAGCTTGTTTGTTCACTTCTGACAGTCAAATTGCTACACATCTGAGGAATGGTGATATCCCTGCAACTGAGACAACTTCAAGAAGCAGACAGAAGCAGTTTTACTCTAAAAAGGTTTTTCAGATTTTTCATATTCATGTAGGAAGAAGGTCACCATATCCAACTGCTAATTCCTTTGCAAGTCTGATCTCGAAAGGTATTACATAATTTTTTTCTCCCTTTCAGGGATAGTATTCCAGTTAAATGGCATTGCTGCATAAAAGTTCTGAGTTAACATTACTTCCTAGATCCTGACACCAAATTGACAGAAAAGGAAAAGATGTTGATTAAAGTTTGGAATGTTCTCTGCTGATTTGATACATAATTAACATGAAAGGAATTTAAGATTTTTCATCAATTTTCAAGTAAGTTAATTTAAATGAATAGCAGAATGAGTAGATTGTTGTTGCTGGTCTGTTCGTAACACTGTTGGCAATTCCACAAAGGAGGACTGCTGTTTACTTGGAATTGATTTCAGTCACCACTGCAATCTATTTCCTTATTCAGTCTCTACTGGCATTGAGTTCTTACTAAATAGTTGAATTTGCAGAGTTTTTACCCACTTCCCAGCTGTTTATTGTACCTCTTCCTGGCTGTCATAGGGAATACTTGAAGTGATTTTTCGGTGTTTTATATTATATATATATATATATATATTTATATATATATATATATGAAATTGACTAATTCACAAGTACCACTTTTCTCACTTTTTGACTTCTTCACATAATAATTGGATCTTTTCCAACTGGGTATATGGGATGTCTGCTACTGAATGCCAGTAATTTTTTTCCCCCTTATTAACTTTTTCATGCAGCTTTGATTTCTAATTTTCTGTGACTTTTACTTTCTCTCAAATTGAATTAACTGATACTCTGACCATTCCATAGTGGCACAAATTCTAAATGAACTCCAAGTTAGGTGTCCTCAGCACTGCAGTAGATTTTGTGTGAAAATCTGGTATTACTGAAATAAAAGCCTATTTTTTTGGTCTTTTTCTCTCATGCTTAAGATGGATTTGCACTGATGCAGTCACTGTTGCAGCTAATGTGCATGTACCTGAACAAGCCTAGTTATCAGTAGCAATCTGGGCACAAAGACCACATGATTTTTTATTAGCTGAACTGATTGCAGTCTAGACTTTCTCTAAAATTTTGCAGCATTACACTGTAGTTTCAGTAATATTCTGAAGACCATTATAAAGAATACCTCACTTAATCTGAAAGCATTTTATGTTAGTTACTAACCTTAAATTCTTGACCAAGATTACACAAAATACCACTGTGCAGGCTGAGTTCCCTTAAATAAAACCCATTTTAGACTTGAAAACCTTGATCTTTATTTATCTCATTTCAAATTCAGTTCTAGCAAGGTTAGACCCATGCACAAGGAGTCTCTTCAGTGTATATGCATAATCTCACCCCTGAGCTGCACTGCACAAGAAATAGGGCAAAGGGAAAGAAGGGTGGCTTTGTGCTTTTCATTACTTTTGAGTGGCTTTTAAATTTCATGATCACTTGTCTGGTGAGTGCTTCACAGGAAGTGACCGAGATAGGTACTGTTATTAGGGAAATAAAAGAATAGGTCTGCTGTTCATTTGCCTGAGCCTCCTCTGGGGGAAAAACCTCTTTCTGAGATCCAGTCTAAACCTGCTCTGACTCAGCTCCAGCCGTTTCCTAATTAAGCAGTAAGATATGAGTGACTGTAATTTCCACACTTACTGCAAGTGTCTTGGGGTGATTACTTCAAGCAGTCCAGAAATTCAGAAACTGCCCTGGAATTGTGTCATTTCATGTCAGCAGTAAAATAAACTTTATGCTTGAAGACCTAGGTGAGCTATCAGACAAACAGGTCAAACTGTGTAAGGATGAAGCCACTTCCTAAAAGTAAACACTTCACTCACGTGGTGCTGTCACTCTGGTGTAATCTGTCCCTTCACTGCAGGAGACGGAGCTCCAGAATAGCCTCAGGACCAGTGGCACAGACCACCAGGGAGCAGTAGTCAGAAACGCCCCCCCCAAGCTAAATAGTCTCTTCTCGTCTTCACTTACCACCTAAAGTTGAACTTAGTTTTAAAAGAGTATTGCCCAGGGAAGCAGCTGCTGTCTGGGAGAATAAATGGTTTTAGTCCTGTAGTTGAATCAGAGATCTGCAGAGACATTAGCTGGGGTCAGAGAGATCAAGGCCTTTTGCCTCCAAGGTAGTTAGTCTCCTTCCTTCTGACAACCTAATGTAGCCATCTAAATACATGTTGAAAATTTTCTTCTGAACTGCTACTGTCCTTCTTGAAAGAGTTTTTTGGTGTGTTCCTGCTTCACCACCACTGCCGCTACCCTAGGATGTCACTCACCTGCGCACTGCTCTTCTGTTATCTCGCAATCTTTGGAGAAATTCTCCTGTGCTTGCCTGCTGTATTTCTCTTGACCTTTCCCAACATTTGCAGCATGAATTAGAAAAATAGAGTAACTCTTCCCATCTCCTATTGGATTCTGAAAAGCAGAGGGTGATCCAAGCAGGGCTTGCTAGGGTGGGATGTTTTTAGGTGTTGGGAGGGGAGTAGTATTCGGGGGTTTTTCTGCTGCTCAGGATTTGAGCAGCAACAAAGACATAGGAGATGCAGTTCTTGACTGAGTCTCAAAAGAGGGTTCTTTCATATGGAAACATATTTTTATATTACATTTGTACAGAATTTTCCCTATTTTGATCTCCCAACATTTTTAGATTTGCACGTTGCTCAGATTTTATTTCTTTTGCAAGGTGTTATAAAATATATATTTTGTGTTTGTTAATGTATTATAAATGTAAAGCTAAATTTTGGTTGTCTAATAAATGTGCACTATGGTGGTAGCTGGTTGTTTTGCTAACTTGAATTCATTGGTTCTTAATATGAAAAGGAAAAACTTGTCATTGTTGGGACTGTCTTGTTAGCATAAATAAATGTGTGGAGTGCATTTATTTTAAAAGTAACTAAAAATGGCTTAAGCAGGTAATGACTAAGAATGCTAATAACAAAAGTTAAGGTCCAGACTAGTTCGCAGGATTCTTTCAAGACGATAATCTGAAGATTCATGAGATTATTTTTTTTTTATTGTTTCCCATTACTTTTGGTTATGGATATTCATACTAAAGTGAGTTTAAGACACAGAAATGGCAATCTGATCACTTCAGTATGTATGAGAAGATCTGAGGGTTAGTGTTTGGGTGTATTTAAGGACTAATTGTGGCAGAAGTATTTACAATGCGCACGAAGATAATTTTTTTAATATTGAGAATAGATTCAAGTGTGCAGATTTATAGACTATTACAATGTCTAGGAGCTTTGTTTTGCCAGGAACAGCACTGAATATACATTGTCACAACTTCAGTAAACCCTCTGGAAGTATTATAAACTTTAGAAGATAACTTTAGGCATCTCCACTTGTGAATAGTTGTGTTGGTATTTTTGTTGCAGACTTTATCCTTCATTTTTAGCTATTTTGTAAGTTTGATTGTTTTCAGTGCAAAGAGGGAGAAATGTATTTTTCTAGAAGAATGAATGTACCTGGGATTTAAGCACTACAAAAATCATTTAATGAACATGGACTGTCCTCCTATGAAATATATTTCAGTAAAGGTGTCTGAAATGTAGTTCATTTGAGAAAAAAAAGTCCCAAACATGCACTTACGTTTACATGGAAAAAAGCCCAAACACGGTGTGAATAAAATTCTGAAATGTCTTTCTACAGGCAATAAGTATTAATTATTTAATGTAAGTTATGTTAGACATTTGGAGTAAATGTGATATGTTAATTTAAAGAACAATGTAACGAAGGATCTGAGAAGGGAGTGGAATTAGAAAATATTGGTGTATGTTTCTGAAATCCAGGATTTTGAGTCTGTATTTGCTGGCATTGATAATTTGTTGTGGCTATTGAAAACCTGGACAAGAGCAAAGAATAGACCTTTCTTTGTAAATGGAACTTGGCAATAAAAATGGTGTTACTAAGAAAACTTCCTTCCTTTTCATGTTCAGTTGCTGCATTTGATGCAAAAGGACATCCAAAAGCAGTGAAAGACAGAATTTGCAGAACCTTGCTTATATTTAGAAGAATGTTGTGCATATGCAACTGCTAGGCATTTTCATCTTTAAGCCAGGGTAATTTGCTCTGTGTATGCAGGAGAGGGAGCAGAAGCAAGCCTGGAAGGGCAGTGGAAAGTACATGAGCCCAAGGGTTAAGAGGGGCTGAGCAACATCTAAAATATCTGTGAACCACTCTGAAAGTGCCTGTCATGTGTGATTTCTCCCCCAAATATATGCTTTCACCCTCTGCCTCTTTCTCTGGTGCATGTTGCCAGTTCAGTATATGGATTAAATCCAACCAAGTTATTAGTTAGCTTCTTGTTAATTAGCCTCTACATGTATAGGAATTCATCACAGTCAATATACATTCCTTGGGAAATGTTATTTCTCAAAATAGTCATTGCTCCAGAAGCTTTCTTGGGAAGAAATTCAATTACATTGTACCATCAAATAACCAAGCTAGGTATCAGACACATTTTATGATACATTTTATGATTTACTTTAAGATGCAAATATTAAATCATGGTGTATTGGTGGAAAATGAGCTTAAATCTGCTCCTGGCAGCAGAACTTTCTAAATTTTGCCAGTAATACTGCTTTAAGGATGCAAATTTGTGGCCAGGAAGGTCCCTTCCTTCACATTTGAAACTGCTTTATGGTTCTGTATCTTGATGCTTCAGAACTCTTGCAGCCTTTTGTCTTGTCATTTTTCCTGTGTCTCTGTACTAAATCTTTCTAGACTCAGACCCTGAGTCAGGTTGAGCCTCTTGCCCTGAGTTACTAGTGACCAGAGAGGGAATGAAAGCACAGCCTTCAAACCTCTTCTCTTGCTGACTGGGTTGGAAATTAACTGGACAAAAATGCAGTGCTGCATTAGTCCACTCCTTTCTTAGTCCCCAGAAATATCTAAGTGCAGCAACTTGAACAGTCCTATGGTGGGTATCCACATCTTTATCAGCAAGATAATTCCAGCACAGTTATAAAAATAAGAAGGTGAAGCTCTGCCAATACATACATCTTTGTCAAAGTAACTCTTGTCTAAGTAAAGATACAGCATTTGCAGATGATCTTTGTTCTTTGACACTTAACCTTTGTTTCCATGTCAAGGAAGGAGTTCCTTGGGACTTCGTTGATGCAGCTGTTGGGGCAGAAGAAACTGCATTTCTATTGTGCCATGTTAGAGTTTGTGTGAAGGCAAAAGTTGTCTTGGTGCTTTCTGGGGATCTTGAATATATGCTGGATACAACTGGGAATGAGAGATGGCTGTTCATGAGTGTATTCCCTGAAAACTGTATTGCATTTTAAACTCATACTTTTCGTCTCTCAAATGAAGAGAAGTAGACGGAGCTGCAGCACCTGGAGTTGCAAGTGTCCAGTAGCAAAATCGGAAGAAAGGCTTCAGGCAAATGTTCACACACAGTTAAGGCAGTTGAGCTGATGGGGAGTAAGTCTGGTTGAATGAAAAAAAAAGGATTTTACCATCAGCTTATCTGCAACTATATCTATGTCTTAAAATTATTACTGATTTTAGATGCCAGTTCTCTAAAATGGATTTTATGGGGTGGAGTTTTTGTTTATAAAATGCCTTATTATTCAGATTTGAGATCTTTTGAAGTAATTTGAAAGCTCTTGCCTGTCCTCAGACACTCAACTCTACAAAGCTGGGAAATGTTCTTGTTGAACGGAAAATACTGATCTCAGCATGCCATTCTCACTGTCTTGTCCCCAAATAAAGGTTTATATTTCACGCAGGCCAGTTTAATTTTTTTTTTTTTTTTGCCTGTTGGATGACTGGTAAGGACAGATGAATTCTTGGGCTCTGTTTCTTACTTGCACAACGTTTTTCTCAGCTTTAGTATGGAATAAACATCATGACACTGGACGGGAAAACAGGCTGTTGTTTTACTACAGAAAACAATTTTGTCTTTTGGTTAATTGAATGAAGACATCTTTGTGTAAATTTGTCCTCATTTAGGGGTCATTTATTTGAGGCAGATTTAAGCAACTGCTTGAAACTGCATTGTTGATGGACCAGTGCATTGAGAAGGAAGATAGCCAGACTGGGTCACCACTACAGAGGGGCCCAGAGCTGGCTCAGCATCAGCAGCCAGAGCTACCAGAGACAGAAAAAGGAGTTTCTGAAGGAGGAAAGAGACAGATAACCATAATGTCTTAGGAAAAAGAATTTCCAGTTGGCAGAGAGAGGTGGGGTCTGCAAAGGAGGAAAGTAGTTTCACTCTTCCTGATAGCTAATTTGAGGGACAAGAGAAAAGAAACATCATTTTATAGTACCTTATATGAAATCATTACCTCAGTTCAGGAGGTACAAAAAGTACATCACCTGTAAGAATATCAGATACAACTGTCCACAGCCACACCTGTGTTTAAGTCTTTCTCCTTCACCGCCACCATTTTATCCTATGCAAGCCCAGTTCCTGATGTGAGAGAGGTGTAGCTTAATTCCAGAGTTCTTGGGAACAAGATGTGAGCAGCTTTGCTTTGCTGCCTCTCCCCCACGCAGTTCACTTGAATTTGCTTATCACAGTTATCAGCTTCAAGGCTTTCCTGCGAAAGTGGTGTTGGTAACCACTGTCTGTTAGATAACTTGTAATTCTTACATAGCTGCCAAAGTGCTTTGGAGGGAGATAGAGCCTCTCAGCTCACTAAATTTGGTTAAAACAAGTCATGCAAGCCTCTTTGAGAGTTTCTGAACAGATGAGACGTTTTGTGAGGGAGGGATACTTGTCAAATTTTGTCAAACCACAGATCTCTTTGAACAACAGTCTTGTAGCTAAACTTCCTCTGTTTTGTCTGAATCTGCAAAGAAAACCAGACATGTTATGGGAAATCGGAGGTGCCTTTTAACTTGCAGTGTTTAGATCAGCTCCCACTGCACAGCTTGTGTTATGCTGGTATCAGCAGGCTTCACCTGTGCTTTGGCTTAACAGGACGTTGGACAGGTCCTTCCTGTTCCTGAGTTCACCCATTTTAAACAGATTAGTGGTGCAGGTAGGAAGCCTAGTTCATGTTTGTAAAGTGCTTTCATGTTGATGTTAAGCATTAATATTTTTACCACCTCGTCATAAAGAAATGTCATTAGAAGCATCATTCCAGTCTTACTGCTTGCACCAGTTAACGTAGTTTCTGCTGAATGTGTAATTTTCAAAGCAAATCATTTTTGGATTTTTTGTTTGCATCATATCTGAGTCATCTGAACAACTTCAAAATTATAAGGAAACAAGTCTTTCTCCTAGCTTCTAGTAATGTTTTAAGATTTGGTCATAATTTGCAATTGTTTGCTTAATCCTCTTAGAAATCAAATTGAATGTGTGAGTCAGTCTTAGAATGCTGAAACTGTTTTAAGTGGCTGTTTATACATAGGCTAAAAGAAATGTGAGGCTTAAGAAAGAGAAAGAAGTTGCTAAGAAAAGCAAGAAACTCTGAAAAGTTTGCGTTCAATGTAACTATAGCAGTATGATGTGCAGACCACCTCTGTAAAAGTCTGTTGCACAATTATTTGGGAAAAAAAAAATTGTAAGAATGGCATAATTTAAAATATGACAGTAAAATGCTGAGTCACTAAAAAACAACATGGGAACATTTTTCATCTGCTTCAGTGGCAGCCAGGTGTCTTATCTGAAACTGATAGGATGTGTAATCTGAAATAATGTGGAAGGGTTTGTGTAGGTGAGTAGACATTCCCTTTTGCCATCTCTGAGTTGGGACATGACAAACTTTCCTTCTTTGCTCTCTTAGAGGGAAGTGTTACATGTTGGTAGTCATGAAGAAATCCTTAACTGCTTGAGAGTTACAGCACTGAAAACAAGGTATCTGTGAGCCTAAAAGCCTCCAACAAAGGTCAAATACAATGTAGAACTGTTCATCAGAACAACTGAACAACTACACTTGGTCAGTCTCTTGCACAAAGTATATGTCAAAGACCATAGGAAGTTTGGGTTTGGTACAATTTTTCATGTGGATCCTGTTTGTTAGAAAAAGATTGATTAGGAACTAGCTGAGAACAACTGGAGTGGGAATAGAAAGTCTGCATGCAGAAAGAAATAGAGAATTCCTTCTTAAACCTTTTGTTTAGATATCCCAGAATGAAGAAGTGGCCAGCAGTGTGAGTCCTATAAGGTGCTTACAACAATGAGACCCAACCAAGATTCATTCATTCATTAAGTATTAAACACTACCTGAGTGAATGAAGGGAATGTATCTGAGGGAAACTAGTCTGTTGATTTCTCAGTATTTTCAAGAAAACAAACACAGAAGTCACTACAGTCTGGTGCTAGAACGTATCCTTCTCTGTTGGCAGGATTTGCTCAGCCCCCTGGCTGATCATGTGCCATTCATTCTGGAAACTGAAATTTCTGGGTAGTCTTGTGACTAACCTTGTTAACATGAAGCACTGAATGATGTATTCTTTTTTAATTGCTTGCGGACTCTGAGCTGAGTAACCAGAAGGTGCCTCAAGAACTTCTCATTCATGATATGTCACAGATGTCCCTGCTTGCACTGAAAATGCAACAAAAAAGCAAATGTAAATTGAGTGAAACGCTGTTACAGTGAGTTTAGTGTGTGGGGATGACTTGTGTATAGGGCAGATGTGTGGCTTGTGCAAGGCAGTGGCACTGCTTCTCTGTTAAGGAAAGCATATCACAGGCTGATGGCTCAGAACTGTACATGGAGTCTGTGAATGACTCAAGAACTGAACACAAAGAAACTGCCTTTACTGATGACTGGTTTGAATTTCCAGTGGCAAGAGAGATTATATGTAATATCTGATCTTAAAATACATTTTCTAGACAAGATCTTTTTCCTAGTATGTATGAGACTTTTCCATGTAATGCAAGTCCTCAGAATAATATGATGACTAAACAGATGCTTTAAGAAAAGTAATAGGACAAACCCAGAATGATTGTTCAGC